CCAGGTATTTTTTTTTCAGAGATAGGGTCTCCCTGTATATTCCCTGGGCTGGTTGGTCTCCAATTCCCGACCTTAAACAGTTCTCTTGCCTCGGCTTCCCAAAGTGCTGAGATTACAGATGTGAGCCACCATGCCCAGCCCTGTTTACATTTTTACAAACCATGTCACCACACAACCCAGCATTTTGTATTCAGTTAAATCAGATTGTTTAATAACCTTAACTGTGAGGCCGGGCAAAGTGGCTCACATCTGTAATCCTAGCACTTTGGGAGGCCGAGGTGGGCAGATCACCTGAGGTCAGCAGTTCGAGACCAGCCTGATCAATATGGTGAAACCTCGTCTCTACTAAAGATAAAAAAATTAGCCGGGGGTGGTGGCGCACACCTGTCGTCTCAGCTACTCAGGCTGAGACGGGAGAATTGCTTGAACCCAGGTGGCAGAAGTTGCAGTGAGTCGAGATCTCACCATTGCACTCCAGCCTGGATGACAGAGCGCAACTCCATCTCAAAAATAAAAAAACAAAAACAAAAACCTTAACTGTGGTGTACATACTGAGATGTAAAAAAAGATTCTAGAGCCACCCACAGTCCTTGGCTGAAGGCCTCCTTCCGTCATCTGCAAAGCCAGTAATGCTGCGTCTGTGCCTTCTTCTGTAGTCACATCTTCCTCTGGCTCTCTTTGGCCTCCCTCTTCCACTTTAAAGGTTCTTTCTAATTATATTAGACCCATGCAGATAATACAAGATAATCTCCCTGTTTTAAGGTCATCTGATTAGCAATCTTAATTTCCCTTTGCTATGTAACCTAAGACATTCACAAGTTCTGGGCATTAGGATGTGATGTCTTGCAGGATGGGTACTATTCTGCCTAGCAAACATGTGAATGCATGAATGCAGTGTTCTGAGGTGCTTCTCAGGACTTAGAAGAGTCATTTTAATACTAAAGATAATACACATTCTCTAAGGAAGAGGAGTTTGCAGACTATCCAGTGTTTTCAATATATCTAGATGTTTCAACCTGAGGAAGCTGATTACTATATACTATATATAGTATATATATAGTGTATATACTATATACATAGTATATATAGTATACTATATAGTGTATAGAGAGTATACTGTATAGTATATATACTCTCTATACTAGAGTATATATAGAGTGTAGTTATACTCTATATAGAGTATACATACTATAAAGTATATATAGATATATACTATATCTGTGTATATATATCTGTATAACTATAAAGTTATATATACACTATATATATCAGTGGAACCCAATTCACATCTGGAAATCTACCTGCAAAGGGAGTCTGGGAAATGTGGTTATTTTCTCACCTTCCAGCCCCTGCATTATAGGAAGGCACACTGGAGAGCAGAATGAACCCTGAATACCAAATCACCGTATCATTGTATCTACATTTATCTACCTCTTTAGCTAGTCAGTATCCATACAATTGTTTATGAATTCAATGCATTCATAAACAATATACGAATATTATTTAATATTCTTCTGTATAACAACAGCAACTATAACATGTTAATGGAAGTACAATATTTCCCTTCTTTATCAAAGGGGAGCTATAAAGATCCATCAGTCACAGGGTGGTGTTTATTCCTCTCCTGGTTCAGTTATACTCTCACCTTGATATCCTCTTATCCTAAAAATGAAATGATCAAGTTGATTACCACCAGTACAATTTACTTAACACAATATTGGAAAAGAGAGCAGGCTGGGCATGGTGGCTCATACCTGTAGTCTCAGCTACTCCGGAAGCCCTGGAGTTTGAGATCAGCTTGGGCAACAAAGGAAGACCTCATCTCTCCTAAAAATCAAAATTAGCTGGGTATGGTGTTGCATTCCTGTAGTTCTAGCTACTCAGGAGGCTGAGGTGGGAGGATTGCTTGAGCCCAGGAGATCAAGGCTTCATCATGTCACTGCACTCCAGCCTGGGCGACAGAACAAGACCCCCATCTCTTAAAATTTCATCTCGCAGCTAGGCGTAGTGGTGCATGCCTGTAGTGTCAGCTATTCAAGAGGCTGAGGTGGGAGGGCTGCTTGGGTTGAGGAGTTCAAGTACATCCTGGACAACATGGCAAGACCACCGTCTCTTAAAAAAGAAACTTTCGGCCCGGCACGATGGCTCATGCCTGTAATCCCAGCACTTTGGGAGGCCGAGGCAGGCAGATCACCTGAGGTCAGGAGTTCAAGACCAGCCTGACCAACATGGAGAAACCCCATCTCTACTAAAAATACAAAATTAGCCGGGCATGGTAGCACATGCCTGTAATCCCAGCTACTTGGGAGGCGGAGGCAGGAGAAACACTTGAACCCAGGAGGCGGAGGTTGCGGTGAGCCGAGATTGCGCCACTGTACTCCAGCCCGAGCAAAAAGAGTGAAACTCTGTCTCAAAAAAAAAAAATACAAGAAAAAGAAACTTTCATGATGTCATGTTTTCTTGCTTTGCATGTTTCTGTTCTGACATTTGTACTTAGGATTTGTTTTAATCAGCAATGGTGACACAGAAACAACTGCCTATAGAAAATTACTTTCGTCTCCCCGGGAGGCTGAGGCCGGAGAATGGTGTGAACCCGGGAGGCGGAGCTTGCAGTGAGCTGAGATCCGGCCACTGCACTCCAGCCTGGGCGACAGAGCGAGACTCCGTCTCAAAAAAAAAAAAAAAAAAAAAAAAATTACTTTCGTCTCCCAAGAGGGCATGCCACACCACACCAGGCCACATTAGGAAACACCACAGTCAGTCAGGCAGTACAGAAGCAAGTGAAAAGCCTAGGCCAGAGCTTTGTTGCTACAGTGGTTGAAAGGTGTGGACACCCCCTATCGGGCAGGAAGTGAAATACTATATATTGGCGTTTGTGGTTGGAGGGACTGTAATGTGATGTTTGCATACCCACAAAAGCTGGATGGTAAGGGAAAGCTAAACAGCATTTGTTAGTTTGGTCCTGTGATTAATGGATGCTAAATACAGAATCTAAGGAAACATGGAACAATTTCTTCTGAAAATGTACGTTTATGTCTTTTAAAAAATAAATGTATATAATATCCTTAACCTTTGAGACTTATTTTCCTCTTTGAACAATAAATTAGTACATTTCCTCTTCTGTCTACCACTTTATTTTGGTTGATATTATTTATGTGTTGACTTTCATGAAATGTTTTAAATTCTATTAATAGATTTTTTTTAGCTTTAAATATCTCTTATTTAGTTTGGAGAAAGAGTCTTACTCTGTTGCCCAGGCTGGAGTACAGTGGTGTGATCTTGGCTCACTGCAACCTCTGCCTCCCGGGTTCAAGCAATTCTCCTGCCTCAGCCTCCCTAGTAGCTGGGACTACAGGCGCGTGCCACCATGCCTGAGTTATTTGCTTTAAATATCTTTTAACCCCTAGCTTTTAAAGACTTCACTATATTTATGCTACTATCTACTTTCTCCTTTTTTTTTTTTTTTTTTCCCTGTAAGAGACAAGGTCTTGCTCTCTTGCCCAGGCTGGAGTACAGTGGTATAATCATAGCTCACTGTAACCTCAAACTCTTGGGCTCAAGTGATTCTCCTACTTCAGCCTGCACAGTAGCTAGGATAATAGGCATGCACCACCATGCCCAGCTATTTTTTGTAGAGAGAGGGTCTCAATGTGTTGCACAGGCTGTTCTCAAAACTGGCTTCAAGTGATCCTCCTGCCTCAACCTCCCAAAGCTCTGGGATTATAGATGTGAGCCACTGCGCCTAGCCCCTCTTTTTATTCCTGATTTCTTCTTCCTCACTTAAAAAAAAAATTTACATTGTGGTCTGTAACAATAGTCTCCACATCTTAGTTTTGGTCCTACAGTTAAACATCCGATATATACTGCCAGTTCTTTTTATTTACATTTTCCATTCATCTTCTGGTTTGCTGGAAGCTGTATTTCAGTAGATTCTCCAACAATGGTTATTTCCTGAGTTCTTGTATGTTACAAAGTGTTGGTTGGATTTATACATGATTGATAGTTTGGCTGGCAACCCTGTAACATCTGAATCCTCTAACAACATATGAGAAATTCTGGTCTTATTGATCCCACCACCCAAAAGTAGAACCAGGAAAACTCCCTAGCAGCCTATGAAAGGGGCATATAACATAACCTTTTTCAATCAGATGTCTTTGGATGAGACTTCTTTTTTGAATTCAGCAATTTAGGGAGGCGCCTCATGGAGAATCCTTTTGTTGCTGTTCTGATGTGGGTGGGGGCATTCTTCTACCTATTCTTGCTGCAGAAGTGGCAAAGGTAGGGCATGGTGGCAGTAGCACTTTCTTCCAGTGCCCTGTGTGGCAGCAGTGTCAGCAGCTTCTTCCTTGGTCTAATTCTAAGGCATGGTTTTACAAATTGCTGCTGTAAGCTTACCCTCCTGGTTCACCTGCCTTCTAATAATTCCGTGAGCTAACCAAAATTCTTTCAAAAAACTTCTCCTGCTTAATCAGTCTGTTTCTATTGTTTGCAAGCAAGACTCTATTATAAACTACAGCCTGTAGAATAAATGAGGCCTATTACTAAATGGCTAAAATCAAAAATTGGGGATTTTGTATTTTGACATGGGAAAACTATGAAATTCAAATTTTAGTGTCCATAAATATTTATTGGAACGCAGAATATGTAAATGTTCATTGGTTTATATATTTGTCTGAATGCCTACATTTGATATGCAAAACTATGAAATACACATATAAAAGGCAGGTCAAAAATATAACTATAAAAAATTTATAAGTAATTTTAGCCTTTTGGAGAATTTATTTAACAATTAACACATGGCTACCACTACAATTTTTTTTTTTTGAGTCAAGAGTTACTCTATTGCCCAGGCTGGAGTGCAGTGAATGGTGTGTTCGTGGCTCACTGTAAGCTCAAACTCCTGGGCTCAAATAATCCTCCTGCCTCAGCCTCACAAGTAGCTGAGACCACAGGGATGTGCCACCACACCCAGCTAAGTTTAATTTTTTTTTTTTTTTTTAAAGAAATGGGGTCTTGCTATGTTGCCCAAGGTTGGTCTCAAACCCTGGTCTCGAGCAATCCTCTCACCTCAGCCTCCTGAATCGCTGTGATTACAGTGTGAGCTACTGCATCTGGAGACTTTATCACTTCTTAAATTAGTTTATTATATTTAACGCTTTTTTCTTATAATACTTTTGGGACATCATTTTTCAGAGAACAGTATTTGAGTGTGTGTGTGTGTGTGTGTGTGTGTGTGTCTGTGCGCGCACACATATTTTCACTGAGATGGCTTTAATATGCTAATAAACCCAGAAGGCCCTAACTTGGTGAAGTCCTTTTACATAGTTTGAAGCTGGTAAACTTTTGGGCCTTTTTTCAAGAGGTAACCCTGGTCATTTAGTGATCCAATAAAGTTTTCAAAATCAGCAACCTGGAAGAAAACATCAAAAGGTTTAGCCCATTAAGTAACATGTCAAAATATTACTTTTAAAATAAATCTCTCAAACAATAATATGTAACTGTAAAGTTTTGTTGCCAAATAAAATTGTGTTTACTTCTTACAGAGCAAACTGCCTATATTTGAGCTCTGGATTCTGTAAAGCCTAGATGAATAAAAAATAAAAATTCCAATAGGCAGAGAATATTTTACATTTGTTTCAGGTTAGCTGAAAAACAAAAATCAAACTAACTTTTGAAATTAAGAAGTTAATTTTCCATAATGTGTAATAGCACGTTTGAAGTGCTATTACGTTGATTTTCACAAGAACTTTGAAGTAGGAATAGCAGGTATAATCATGTCCATTTAACAGATGAGGGAACTGAGGTTAAAAGATACTAAAATGACTTATCCACAAGAAACTTTCAAAAAAACATACAGACTGTGTCTTACTACAATGTTTCCCTCTATCAAGATGCTGAAAAGCCTTTGAGAAGAAGCAGGTATGAATTTTAAATAAGTAAAAACTGTTTCTGTTCTACTATATATTAATAAGGACCTCCTGAAATTATTACAAAAGAGATTAACTAGTTTAACATACCTGAATGTTTAGTTCTTTGGCAATCTGCCGAAGTTGATGAAATTGAAATATATTATTATAAGTTCTTTCAGCAATGTTGTTGAGAGCAGAAATAAATCTTTTTGCTGTTGACCTGTTGCTCATTCCAGAACCATGCTGGGATCGCTCAAAATCTAGGTTCCCAAATTCATCAGAGTAAGTTCCTAGCATGCTTAAAAAGAAAGGAAGAAAAAAATTACCCAATGTGGCACTGCCATAGAAATTGTTGTCCTGGGCTTTGAGGACAGAAGAAAAATTTGGAAGTAGCCACTAGGCTCACTTAGTAAACATTTCAACATGTGTTTATTGAGTGGCCACTTTGAAATTCACTATGATAAGGATTGATAAGGAATAAAAATATTTTGGACACAATTACTGCTTTTAAGAAACTTCTAAATTTGAAGAGAGAAATGCATAAAAACACAAAATTGATAAACTACAATATAAATACCTGGGACATTCTTTTTGATTCATGAAGAAAAGAAATTCTAAATATAATAAATTTAGACTTTACTGAATAAAAATGCATCCTATCTCCTGGAGCAGCATCTGGCGGCACCAGTATTTTAAATAAAAGGTATTTAAAATACTATAGGAATGAACTAGAAAGGTTATGGTGAGTTGCAGTGATAATGGTTAGATATTAAAGGATGCACCTGTTACTGCCAGATTTCTTCTGCTTCCTCTTATTTTCCCAATATCACCAAGGAAAGAAATACGTACTTGATAGTGAATTTTAGCTAGAAGTCTGAAAACACCAGTTAGAAACACAATTAACCATCCTGTTTAATCCAACTCTATTGCTGATTCCCTGCTTGAACAATGGGATAGCTGTATTTCACAGCCAGAATAACTGGCAAAACTGTTATTTAACCAGGAATTAATTAATTAGTCAAATACATACTGGTCACCTGCTGGGCAATAGGCTTATAGTGGTGAACAAAAGAGGTATAATCCCTCCCCTTAAGGAGCATGCAGGAATGATTTTAATGGGTTATAAACAATAAAGCTTCCTTTTGTTCTTTGAGTAGTTAAAAGCCTACGTTATACATAAAAGCCTACATAGGAATGAGTCATTCAAATAAGACTATTAAAAATGATAAAACAGCAAGATGGTGTTTTCCTCTGAAATACAGCATAATCTCTTTTATGATGAACCTCCCATATGCTTGTTTCTCATAAGAAAGTTGTTAAAAATGTTTCGGTTAATAATAATAAGTAACATTTATCTTAATTATATTTATTTACCATAGGCTATCCCACTTAATCTTTCCAGCAATCCTGTGATTTAGGAACTATTTTTATTCCCATTTTATGGATGAAAAAACATTCTTATTAGGTTGGCGCAAGAGTAATAGTGGTTTTTGAAATTTTTTTTTCTTATGGCAAAAACTGCAACTACTTTTGCACCAATCTACACTAAGATTAAAGTGACTCGCCAGAAGTCACTTTATTAGTAAGTGGCATATCTCAGATTTGAATCTGCTACACTGCTTCAGATTTTAAAAAGCTATGTAAAATATTTGAGCTAGTTTCCTGAAACAGAAAAAAACTCACAGTGATCTCTCACCTTTGAAGGTGGCTCTGTTCTCTTCTGCTACCTCGTGTATTTTCAATTTTAGGAGAAAGCTTATGTCAACTGTTTACTAAATATAAGCATTTAGTTTTTAAAATAAAGCTAAGTGCTCTGGTAACTCAGACAAGCTATGTCACAGTTTAAGAACTTTCTTATTCAACTGTCGGCTTCCCAGTTAAAATGTAATCTTAAAAGGTTTAAAACCACATTAAGGGCAAAAATTGAACAAAGCTGAAGAGATGAAAACCCTGAAATGGAAGATTTAATGAATGAATGAATGATTACTAAGGTCAATTTTACCATCAATGCAGGACATTTACTGAGGGCCTACTTTATGGCAGGCTTGATTCTGGGCCCTGGTAATATACTGGTAAATGAGTCAGATAAGGTCCCTGCTCTCATGAACTAAGGACAGAATGCATGTTAAGCATAACAAACAGGTAATTCATAATCTAATTTCATTGTGTTTCACTGGATCTTGATCTCTACCATGGAAGTAGTGTCAGGTAATTCCAATCAAACTATTTTCTTTTTCCTGAAAATTTTTATGAATGCCAGTAAACACACTAAGACAATTCAGGGAAACAATCTGGTAATGTCATGTGGGTACTGTTTACACTTAATAATAAGACCTCTTTTTTTCAGGGGCCCAGATGTAAACTGATCTGAAACTTGTTCAGATTTACCAAAGCAACTCTGGGAAGCAGTACGAATACAGAGTTCCATGAGTCAACACTTAAGAATTCCTCTTGGACAGGAAAGCACATGCAAACACTGTCCAACATGAGTATTCAGACACGCAGAGAAATCTTATACCAAGTATAAGCCAACCACAAATGGGCAACATAGCATTTTTATTGAAAAGGTAATTATAGCCTAATTTACTCTGCTTAAGCATGATGCTCAGGAGAACTAATCTACCGTGTCCACAGATCAGTGAATTTATTGTGGAGAGACACTAGACAGTTGAGGTGATGTCTGTGGTCTAAGGCCTGCAGAAACTGAGCAATGGTAAAGCCTCAAAAGGAGAATGTTAATTCTGGTTAAGAGAGAAAAGGAGCAGGGTAGTGTACCCCTTAATTTGCTCAACAGATGAACAGTCTACAAAGTAGAAACATGATATTCAGGAGAGCCAGGCACCAGAAGACCCAGAGGTCATTAAAAGGAAAAGGAAATCAGGAGTGGGAATCTCAGCCACACTCCCAAAGGTGGAGTGTTCAAGTACAGGAAGCAGAGAAAGCAAGATGCACACATCCTAGACTGTAATCACCTTCTCATCATTAAATAAGAAGTACCTATTTTTAGTCTTTGTTTTTGTTATAGGAAAAAAAGTTAAAATAAAAAAATTCTGAAATTTTGGTTGGGTTGTGACTTACTTTCCTAATGGGAAAAAATATCTCTGCTAGGTCAGTCTCTAGTCTGGTCTCTCAGAAAGCCATACCCACAAGAAGTCAGGCAGACAACTAGATTTTGTGGCCATTTTTTTACTTCATATGCTAGCATGCCATGCCCCTAGCAGCAAGTTGTATGAGAAAGTCTAGTAAATTTCTAGACTATCTGGTTGCTTATTAAATGGCAACTGGAGGGTCTCCAACATATATTGAGATCAACTGGAGAGGGACTAAAGCCAGGTTGGCAAAATTTCCAGCTACAAGATCCCTCAAACCCTAGTACTGAATCACATAAAGAGAAAATTGATGGATCAAACACTGTGTGATGCCAGGCGCAGTGGCTCCCACCTGTAATCCCAGCATTTTGGGAGGCCAAGGTGGGCAGATCACCTGAGGTCAGGAGTTCAAGACTAGCCTGGCCAACTTGGCAAAACCCCATCTCTACTAAAAATACAAAAAAATTAGCTGGGCATGGTGGCAGATGCCTATAATCCCCGTTACTCAGGAGGCTGAGGCAGAAGAATCGATTGAACCCGGAGGCAGAGGTTGCAGTAAGCTGAGATCACGCCACTATACTCTCTAGCCTGGATGACAGAGCGAGACTCTGTCTTAAATTTAAAAAAAAAAAAAAAAGCACTGTGTGATGCCATACCAACAGGATACTTAGACACAGAAGGTGAGTTGTTAGAAATTAGCTGAAAGGGGTCGGGAGTCAATAATTATTAATTTTTCTTATTATGAGGCAGTTACTTTGGTGCCACCAATAAAAAATTAAGAGCTGTCAATTCTAGAATCTTTAAAGCTTTCAAAGACAGCCAGTAGAACCTCACTGCTGCTTACAAACTGAGACTGAATTAAGGAGAAAGGTTCCTCTTCTTCCATGGACTTCCTATAAGGGCAGGAAACAAGCTGCAGATGATTGCACCTTCAGGAGGTGACATGGGTGCCCTTCTACCCATATGCATACTTCCAGAGGCAGCAGAGAGAAGACAGCAGCCTCCAGGGATGGGCCAGTACCAGGCTGGGGTCAAAGAGACAACTAGGTAAAGTGTCTCCCTATGAGGAAAAGACAAGAAGAAAAGGATCTGCAGCTAAGACATACTGCACAATTTAGATGGAGGGCATTGAGGACTAGAACATAAAAATTCTTTGAAAAGGGTAATTTTAGAAATTTCTTATCTAGGATGAGATCTGCCAGTTTTTGAGGCCTTCAGTTTATGGTATAACTCAGAGAAAAGGGGATCTGCTCAGCCTCATCTGAATATCAATAAAACTTGCACTATCAGGCCAGGCATGGTGGCTCACACCTATAATCCCAGCACTTTGGGAGGACGAGGCAGGCAGATCACTTAAGGCCAGGAGATGGAGACCATCCTGGTCAACATGGTGTAACCCCGTCTCTACTAAAAATACAAAAATCCGCCAGGTGTGGTGGCATGCACCTGTAGTCCCAGATACTTGGGAGGCTCAGGTAGGAGAATCACTTGAACCCAGGAGGCGCAGGTTGCAGTGAGCCAACATGCACTCCAGCCTGGGCCACAGAGCCAGACTCTGTCTCAAAAAAAAAAAAAAAAGACTTGCGCTATTGATAGTAAACAGTGTTTATTGAGTGTCCTCTAATGTATTAGAACCCTATTTATCACTTTATAGAGCATCACTGCATGACACCTCAGAGCACAATCCTTTGTGGTGTGTTTTACGGCAGAGGAAACTGAGAAGCAGTGTGTAACTTGCCATGGCAGCTCCAGGTTGGACTCCAGAGCCCTTGCTCTTCCAGCTATGCTGCACTTTTGTTCACAGCCAAAGGGGAATAGCTGGGCAAAACCACCTGGTTCTGACACGACGCAAGCCCCAGAATCAGCAGCTACTAGGACAAAAGAATTCATCTACCTTAGAAGAATCAGAAATTACTTAACAAAGTAAGATAAATAATTTCATCTTCAATATATTTTTTGGTCTTGGAAAAGTAGATTCCTAACAGATATGTATTTTCATTGCTATGAGAGGATATTAAAAATGGATTTTAAATGAAAAAAACAAGGTATAGTATGTATATGGTATGTTGTTATAGTTACCATTTGTCTACAAAGAGGAAAAAAGAATATATAGATACATAGTCACACAAAAAACTGCTAATAATTGCCACTGGCTAGCAGGAAGAACGGGGTAGCTATTAAATAAGCAGGGTAGGAGGAAACTTTTTCCACTATATACTTTTTTTTTTTAGGCTCGAGTACAGTGGCACAATCTCAGCTCACTGCAACCTCCGCCTCCCAGGTTCAAGCAATTCTCCTGCCTCAGCCTCCCAAGTAATTGGGATTACAGGCGCTCACCACCATGCCTGGCTAATTTTTTGTATTTTTAGTAGAGACGGGGTTTCACCATGTTGCCCAGGCTGTTCTCGAACTCCTGACCTCAGGTGATCCACCTGCCTCAGCCTCCCAAAGTGCTGGGATTACAGGTGTGAGCCACTGTGTCCGACCTATACTTTTTGAACTTTGGAATTTTGAAGCTTATGAAAGTATGGACCTATTAAAAAATTTTTTAGCTGGAATAAAAAACCTACCTAAAATAACATTTCTGATTTTTAAAAGTCTATGTCTAAGGTAAACATATATGCTCAATTAATTTTTCTTTTCTACCTTCTAGGAATCATTATCTACTAAATGATATAAAATGCAAAGGATACAATTTACCAATATTTATCAAAAACCTATAGTATTTACTGTTGAACCCAGAAATATCACTTCTGAGAATTTATCATGTAGGTGTACAACTTACCCACGTATATAGTATCTTACATAGAACATTACTCACTGTAGCATTATTTAAAAGCACAAGAATGGAAAATATCTATGTGTCAAAAGGGAACTGATCAAATATACTATATAGTATATCTACACTATAGAATACTCTGTAGCTATAAAAAAAGAATCTCTAATAAGAAAAGATCTCTGAATATATTGTTAAAATTCAAAACTGATACAGAAGAGTGTAATCGGTAGACTATTTATGGAAAAGCAATGGGTTTCTGGGTGAAGGGCGAGTAGGTGGTAAATAGCACAGGAGCTAGCTCTTCTCCAATAGGTTTTGGAACTGATTATAGCACTATGTAAATGTATTACTCATTCAAAAAAATTTTTAAGATTATTTACACAGTGAGAAATATTTTAAACTAAGAAACGATACTCTGTTCAGGAGGAAAATAAGTGACCCAATGGGCTAAATAAAAGCAGCCTTGGCCTATTGCCTAATTTGAGATGGGAAGATAACTGGTATTTCATTTAAAACTATTTGAAATTTTTATCTTACCTATATTTCATAATTTCCACTATATCCTCAGCATCTTCTTTGGTTGCTTCCTCTCTCAATTCCAACCTTGCTCGTGCCTTTAAAAGAAAACACCATTTTCAGATGACAAAAGATGAATATATTTACCACAGTATGTCTAAGCTTTACTTCATTTACTAATTTTACACAAAAACTGACCTTTAGGTGAGGAAGGTCATAACATCAGAAGTCAAAATATGAAAATAATTCTCTGGGCTGGCGGTGGTGGCTCACGCCTATAATCCCAGCACTTTGGGAGGCCAAGGTGGAAAGATCACTTGAGCCCAGGAGCTCGAGACCAGCCCGGGCAACAAAGTGAGGACCTGTCTCTACAAAAAAATTTTAAAATTAGCTGGGTGCGGTGGTGTATGCCTGTAGTCCCAGCTACTTGGGAGGCTGAGGTGGGAGGATCGCTTGAGTCTGGGAGGAGAGGCTGCAATAAGCCTTGATCATGCCACTGCACTCCAGCCTAGGTGACAGAGGGAGACCCTGACTCAGGGCAAAAAAAATAAAATAAAATCTGAAACCTTGACTATGAAATTACAACTCACTTAAAATAAGGATAAAACTCGTTTTTACTTATTAATGTATCTTTCTCAGTATTCATTTCAGGAGATTGGATGATAAAATACACTTGGTTTTCCCTTGCCTTTTGCTTTTAGGAAATCATGCCTAACCAATATGGTAAAACAACAAAGAGGAGTTAATCAGATTTTAGGAGCTAGAAGTCCAAACTCTAAGCTAGCTAATCTTAACTGCTGGAGTTCTTTTAGTATTTCACAACTGTGAATAGATATTACTACTGTTAAAAACACAGGCACTATCCTTGTGAACCTGTCATGTAATAAAATAAAATACTCAAGATACCTGACACATTCCGTGTTCCCATATACTCAACTTGGGATCTCAGAATCCTAGTTAACCTAACCACTTTTCAGACATTCCAGGAGTCTCCTAAGAGTCAGTCAAAGAAAAACAAAAGTTGCATGCTAAGTAATCGATTGTATGACTAGAAAGAAGTAGCTATACTTTGATATGTTACAGACATGACAAAATCTTTTTAAAAACTTTCATCCATCCATTTCTAACGTCTCTCAATAGAAAGAAAAACGGAGTCAGTTATGCAGACAATACTTCAAAAGAGAAGTCAAGGCACACCCTTCCCCTTTAAGCCAAAAAAGCAAGACCATAAAAAGAAACAAACCTCTGTCAGACGAATCAAAGATTCCAGCTGCCTGGTAGTGATTGGTGAGCTATTTAACCTCTGGCTCTGTTTCCGGAGCTCAAGGTAAAAATCTTGAAGAACTTGAGCAGCTTCTTTGGATAGCCTTGGGTACACATACTGTCGAGCATAGCCAATGTACTTTCTCAATAGCTGGTGGGGAATGGGATCTATTGTTTCTCCAGGAACCACCTGAAGCATGATTAAAAGGCCCAAGATAACAAAGATAAGTGGCAAATAAAATCTTTCTGCTAAAATAACTTGTTTAGGCCAGGTGCAGTGGCTCACGCCTGTAGTCCCTGCACTTTGGGAGGCCAAGGAAGACACATCACCTGAGGTCAGGAGTTCAAGACCAGCCTGGCCAACACAGCAAAACCCCATCTCTACTAAAAATACAAAAATTAGCCGGGTGTAGTGGCATGCGCCTGCAGTCCCAGCTACTTGGGAGACTGAGGCAGGAGAATCTCTTGAACCCGGGAGATGGACGTTGCAGTGAGCCAAGATCACACCACTGCACTCCAGCCTGGGCGACAGAGTGAGACTATGTCTCAAAATACATAAGTAACTTGTTTAGACAAATACACAATTCTAAAAGACTCTCCAAATCAACCAAACACTTTATCTGACTTAGATTCCTTTTTTTTTTTTTTTTTTTTTTTGAGACGGAGTCTCTCTCTGTCACTGAGGCTGGAGTACAGTGGTGTGATCTCAGCTCACTGCAACCTCTGCCTACTAGGTTCAAGCAATTCTCCTGCCTCAGCCTCCTGAGTAGCTGGGATTACAGGCACACGCCACTACACCCAGCTGATTTTTGTATTTTTAGTAGAGACAGGGTTTCATCATGTTGGCCAGGATGGTCTTGATCTCTTGACCTCGTGATCTGCCTGCCTCGGCCTCCCACAGTGCTGGGATTACAGGTATGAGCCACTGCGCCAGGCTGACTTAGATTATTTCAAATGAAGTTTACATAAACTCTAGTATTGAAATATTAAAAAGTTCTGATTTAAAAAGTTTATATCCTGCTCTACAATAAGCCACACACTGAACTTTGACTTTCAAACAGAACCAAACTGAATAAGGAGAAGAAACATTTATACCTTTAGTCTTTCTGATAATGGTTTCTCAGAAACTACTTCAAGTACCAAAGTATTTGAATCTTGACTATTCGTACGAGCTACTGTGACACTGCTAATGGTTCTCTGCTTTCCAGCTCTTATTGCAATCACATGTTCAGAGAGTAAGTGATCATGATGCTCATTTGGAGTATCTAACAGGATAAAGACCAAATCAAATCTGGATAGTAGTGCACTCCCCATTCTACGAAGCATGAAAGAAAGAAGAAACAATGATTGGAATCAAAAGGAAAAACAAGAAAATTGTTTACTCACTTGTTTACTACTCAAGTTCCATGCAGAACTTGAAAAACCAAGATTTAGGTTAAAGAAATAAGCAAATAGCTTCCTGGATTTGATGTATCCACCCACTGCAACACGGGCACAAGAATTACGTGTATCTACCCTGGGTAGATTGAGGACATGGCCCTTTCTCACACCACCAAACCCACTGAATTCTTCTTTATGTCCTATTATCACTAATTAGCAATACTGCTACATGACATATCAGAGGTTAGCTAGTTCAGTACTTTGTTCATGATACCATTAAAAAACAAAATCTAAGTCCCCTGGATTTTTGTTCAATAGATCTTTCTGATTTTTCTAATATAGCACTCTGTCATTTTACTAAAGAAAAACTACTAGTAGGTCGACTTTTTTGGTGGTGGTGGTAAATACCCTAAATCTCCAAGTACCAATTGTGTATTTCACTATGTATCAAAGACTGTTTCTATATTGATACATTATTAAACAACAGGAAATTAACTCCACTCCCACTAGGCTTAAGGCTCTAATTTTTTAGGAGGCACTCTTTTGTCTTTTTCTCACTTTTGTATCACTTATTTTTCCTTTTCCACACATTTTGTCCAAGAGGTACAGAATGAATTAGAAGAGAAAACACAGATATAAACATTGTTTTTGAAAAAAGCGGGATCACACAACATATTTAAGTATGTTAATGTGCTCTTCTCACTTAATAGTACAGCACAGACATGTTCCCCCATTAGTACATACAAAGCCATTTTTGTTCTCATAATCACTACAGTCTTACTATAGTTTTAAGGTGTTTCCAATTTTTGGCAGCAATAATGCTGCAATACCATGCTACAAACCTATCATTGTGCACTTGTATGACTATTTCTGTGAACAGTAGTCCTAAAAGTAGAGTGGCTATAACAAACAGAATGTGCATTTAGAATTGTGATTAACATACCAAGGGATCCTTCAAAATAATAAATTGTGTATGTGAGAAACAATTTCTTTTTTTTTCTTTGACATGGAGTCTCACTCTTGTCACCCAGGCTGGAGTGTGGTAGCACAATCTCAGCTCACTGCAACCTCCACCTCCTGGGTTCAAGCAATTCTGCCTCAGCCTCCCAAGTAGCTGAGATTACAGGCGGCTGCCATCACGACTGGCTAATTTTTGTATTTTTACTAGAGACGGGTTTTTGCCATGTTGGCCAGGCTGGTCTCAAACTCCTGACTTCAGGTGATCCAACCGCCTCAGCCTCCCAAAGTGCTGGAATTACAGGCGTGAGTCACCCGCCCAGCCAGTGAGAAACCATTTCCACACTACTTTGCCAATAATGATTAATATTTAAAATGTTTGCCAATCTGGTGGATCTCACTGGTACTTCATTGTTTTCCAGCCTCCCAAAGTGCTAGGATTACAGGCGTGAGCCACTCGCCCAGCCATAGAGAAACCATTTCCACACTACTTTGCCAATAATGATTAATATTTAAAATGTTTGCCAATCTGGTGGATCTCACTGGTACTTCATTGTTTTACTTTGCAGTGTTTAAGCACATTTTTGTGCATTTATTGGACATCTGTAACTACTGTGAATATCCATGTATTTCCCATATAGTTCTGTGAACTATTTCTTTTTCTTATTGAATTAGAGTGATTCAATATATTAAAGGTCTAAATATTTGAAGAGACTTACTTTAAATTCTCAGAAACTGTTTTGGCTTTATTGTAATGTCCTCCAACTGGATTTGCAGCAGCAATAATGGAAGTTCTTGCAGGAAGGCTACAAACCACACCAGCCTTAGCCAGACTAATACTTTGCTGCTCCATGGCTTCCAACAAGGCTTGATGTTGATTCCCCATCTTATCAAATTCATCGATTCCACAAATACCTACAATCAAAGTAGAATAATGCAGACAAAAACATTTTTTCTTTGGTCGAGTTCCAAATTTTATGGGATAGAAATTGTTTGACAATAATTATTGCCATTTGTTTCAGCAGTTAAAATTATAAAATGTCATACAATGGAGAATTACTGTTTGTTTCACCACAAGTAACACATTTGTCTTATTTAACTAAGTTTTCTGTAATAGTTATTCCTTTAGCATTTTTCATACGCAAGGCACTGTGTTGTGAGGATTACAAAAATGAAGAGGAGGTAAGAGTAACCCTCAAAACGTTTAAGTACTTAAATTCAAACGGGTGAGATTTTACACACACACACACACACACACACACACACACACACACTTTATTAAGTATACTTCAAAACACATATAATAAGTTTATTATGTTTAATAAGTATATTTCAAAACCTATACCAGGTATTGTCTATACACTTCTATGCACTTATAGGGAAATAACTTAACCTCTTTAAACATAATACAATGCACCACCACTAACTAAAGGCACTGTATGTACCAGGAATGTCATGTCTATTGCATTAAGTTATTGGAGATTCTCTAACATTACCTTGTAATATTTGTCTTCCTTTCTCCCCATACCAGTTAGGTTAGTATCTGGGGGTCACATCTGAAGGGCTTTGCTGTGGTTAAACCCCTCCGTATCTACTCTACACCCAAGTAAGCCTTGCTAGCACAGAGGAGTATATGGAAAATAACTGCTGATTAGTCTTTTTGACCCCCAGCTGCTAACCTAACTGGTATGGGGAGCAGGGAAGACAAATAATACAAGATAATGTTAGAGAGTCCCCAATAACTTGTGCAATAGACATGACATTCTTGGTACATTCAGTGCCTTTAGTTTATTTCAACAGATTTTATTCTATCCTTGAATCCATTTCTGGTTTCATGTTTGGGTTTTCTACTTCACAGAACCAATTATGTTGAATTTCCTTTGTTCTCTCTGTTACTTCCCCTCTAATTGCATTAAGCTTTGTTCTTTTGCATTCACTGTGATTATCTCAAGCCTCTCCTCTTTATAATTTCTCATTCAGCAGTGTCAATTTTACATATTAGTTTAATAACATTGTTAGTCATCAATTTGTCTCTCACATCCTTATCTTTTTGTTTTGAGCTATTTCATTAAATTTATGTTCTTATCAAACATGAAACACGGGAAATTTTCATTTGTTCCTTAGATTATAATTTTGTCTAGAGTGAGGTCTTTTATTGGGCATATTAAATGTCTTTCTTTCTTCCTACGTTATTTCTTCATAGCTGCTATGCTGTCTCTTTATCTTGCTCATGTATAACAATGGCTGCTCTGTCCAAACCTATTTTTTCCAACACAGTATACATGAATTCTTGTCAATACTCTTTTCCCAATGTAATTTCGTCCCATTTTTTCCTTTCCAGCTACAGTTTGCACTTTTCGGTAACCTAAATGATTTAGGAGGGGGAAGCAGGGGGGGCTTTGTTGAACTTTGTGCCACTTTTCTTGCTGATCTCTCTTCTGAGGGTTTACCCCCCTCTGTTGGGAATGTGTCCCATATTCATGGCAGGGGATCCCAGTGCATTAGCCTGTTCCTGCTGTTCAATGTGGAGCTCTGGGACATAGTGAGCCTTCCCTGCCTGTGCTAAGATCCTAGCAGTGGTATACTCATAGGCTTTATCTCCACCTTTCCCTGGGCTGTCTATTGCTCTGTCTGCCTATACCTCTCTGGATTCACGGTATTACTGGAAATTATCAAGATTGCTAATACAGTTCCTCAGAGATGGGGATGGGGTAGGAACAAAGTCAAGCTATTCCCTACTCTGGCTGTCACTGTTCAAAGTGGAAAGCAGGAGCTGGCAAGCCTTTTCTGCAAAGATGCAGAAATACATATTTTAAGTTTCACAGGCCATGCACAATCTTACATATTCTTGGGCTTTTCTGTTTGTTTGTTTGTACTTTACAATCTTTTAAAAATATAAAAGCCAGTTTTAGCTTGTGGACTGTACTAAAACAGGCTGCTGGCTGGTTTGACCTATAGACCAAAGTTTACTGACCCCTTGTTTTAAAGCATAAAACATAAACTTTGAATTTTTTTTTTTCTTTTGAGAGACAGAGTTTCGTTCTGTTACCAAGGCTGGAGTACAGTGGCACCATCATGTCTCACTGCAACCTCCATGTCCTTGGTTCAAGCGATTCTTGTGCCTCAGCCACCTGAGCAGCAGGGATTATAGGCATGTGCCACTTCACCCAGCTAATTTTTGTATTTTTAGTAGAGATGGGATTTTGCCATGTTGGCCAGGCTGGTCTGAAACTCATGGTCTCAAGTGCTCCGCCCGCCTTGGCCTCCCAAAGTACTGGCATTAAAATTTTTTTAAAAAACCTCCAAATCACCTTCTACTTCTAGTTAATGAAAAGTTGCATGGTTTCATGAGTATCATCTTTTTATTACTATATTTTACCTGGTACTTAGCAAAGATATTCTCACTTCTGATGAGCTATATAATAACCAGATACATGTTTTTGGTATTTATTTATTCAGCAAATATTTACTGGATATAAATGCAATAAACGTATAAATTCAATAAACTGAATGCCTTCTATATAAAAGTACTATGTTCTAGGCATGCCGGGTATGGCAGTGAAAAGACAAAATTCCCTGCTCCTGTGAAGCTTACGTTCTACTCAGCCAATACGGGGGGTAGGCAATAAAAAAAGTAAATAATATAGAAGGTAAAAAGTGCTATGGAAGGAAAAAGTAGATTAGGGTAAGGAAAATAAGGTCTGCTAAGGTGGCAGCAGGGCAGGAGAGGTTATAAGTTAAAATACAGTATTTAGGGAAGGCCTCACTGGGATCAGGACAGTTGAGCAAAACATGAAGGGGGAAAGAAAACAAGCCTTTGCAGCTCTATCTGGGGTAAGAACATTCCAGGCAAACGGAACAGCAAGTACAAAGGCCCTTATGAGGAAATGTGACCTGCCTGGTGTGCTGGTGGTGTCCAAGGTAGAGCCGCCAGTGGAGCTAGAGAAGACGAAACATGGGAAGCAGCAGATAAGGAGGCAAAAGAGGTGAAACGCCAGAACATGAATGGCCCTGGACCACTCTCAAGACTTTGGCTTTCACTCTGAGCAAGATGGGCAGTTACTGGAGGGTTGTGAGCAAAAGAGTAACATAATCTAATTTTTAATGAGATTACTGTATTAAAAATAACAGGAAGGGGTAAGGGTGTTTGCAGGTATGCCAATTAGGAGATTACAGTAATAATCCACGTGAGACATGATGGTGCCATGGACCAGGGTAATGAAGAAGTGGTTAGATAGCGGATATATTTTGACAGTAGAGTCAACAAGATTTGCTGACAGATTAATATGGGGTATGAGAAAAAGTCAAGGATGGCTCCATGTTCTCTGATTTGAGCAATTAGAATGAGAGAGTTGTCATTTACTGAGATGAGGAAGACTGTGAAAATAGATTTGAAAGGCGAAATCAGGATTTTAATTTTAGACATGTTAAGTTTGAGAAATCTGTGGAGATACTGTGTAGACAATAAGAAGTATGTGCCTGATATTTAAGGGAAAAGAGATTATAAATTTAGAATTTTTCACAGATAGGTAGGTAAAGCCAATGAAACAATACAAGATCACCAAGAAGGTAAATACAGATCTAGAAGACAAAAGGTCCAAGAACTACACCTAAATTAACAACAAGTAAGAGGGTGTGGAGATGAAGAACCAGTAAAGACTGCGAAAGAAGTAAAGAATGAAGTAAAGTGGCCTGGAAACCAACGAGAGTTAAAGGGTCTCAAGTAGGAGGGAGTGATTAACTGTGTCAAATGTGGCTACTAGGTCCTGGGTTCAGAAAAGTGGAAGTCACTGGAAAACCAGGAGTGAACAACCTTAACTTGACTGGAATCTGGGCACTGCCTGACAGGAACATGTTTTTCCAGTAAGGTGAAGGCATCACAAAGAGAAACCTACGTGGCAAAGCCCAGTGTAGAGGTTTCTTCTTGCTGGGCCCTATGCCTGGATTTCTTATTACCTATCACTCAAATCCTCAAAAAAAACAATGAGTTGGTTTACAATACGGCAAAACTATTCATTCTAAAGTAGGCCAGGTGCGGTGGCTCATGCCTGTAGCCTGTAATCTCAGCACTTTGGGTGGTGAGGTGGGCGGATCACTTGAGGCCAGGAGTTTAAGACCAGCCTGGCCAACATGGTGAAACCCCGTCTCTACTAAAAATACAAAAATTAGCTGGATGTGGTCATGCACACCTGTAATCCCAGCTACTCAGGAGGCTGAGGCACCAGAATGGCTTGAACCTGGAAGGCAGAGGTTGCAGAAAGCTGAGATTGCACCACTGCACTCCAGCCTGGGTGACAGAGCGAGACTGTCTCATAAAAAGAACAAAACATCTAAAGTAACAGCTCTAATCTTTTTTTTTTTTGAGACAAGTCTCGCTCTGTCTCCCAGGCTGGAGTGCAGTGGCCCGATCTCGGCTCATTGCAAGCTTCGCCTCCTGGGTTCATGCCATTATCCTGCCTCAACCTCCCGAGTAGCTGGGACTACAGGGGCCCGCCACCATGCCCGGCTAATTTTTTTGTATTTTTAGTAGAGACGGGGTTTCACCGTGTTAGCCAGGATGGTCTCGATCTCCTGACCTCGTGATCCGCGCGCCTCGGCCTCCCAAAGTGCTGGGATTACAGGCGTGAGCCACCGCGCCTGGCCGCTAACAGCTCTAATCTCTTATTGCAAGTCCTCTGTGAGCCAGGGATGACATCCACCTTTTTGTCAGCGCCAAGATTTTTAAACTATTTAGAGCTAAATAATAGTAATGCATTCAACAAGTATTTACTATGCCCCTATGTACTAGGCAATGGGAACATGGCAGTCAACAAGACATCCAAATCCCATCCCACAGGGAGCTTACTATAAAGCTTCAAAACAGGCTTTAGAAAAAAAGATCACAAACGTGACAAGTGGTATGAAATGGGATGGGTAGGGAACTATACATATTTATCTGATTTTTACATATACTTGTATCTGCTATAAGATTCTGAAAATGAATGACATTAAGTACAGTTTCAATTCTGTAGTATAAAAATGATGATACTGCATTTCCAATGATTATTTCTGACAGTGTCAACTTACTGGTTAGGACTGTGCTATCTATATGTCTCTTAAACAGAATGTAAAGAAATTAACTGAAAAGGAAAAGGCTTTTTAAGAAGTACCAGAATCACTAGTTATTCCCTTTGGTTTCTCACCTTGATCACCAAGTACCAGGGCACCAGCTTCCAAAGCAAAATCTCCAGAGGAACTATCTTTTGAAAGAGTTACCGTCAGACCAGAGGTCGTCGTGGTGTTACCACAAACATACACGCCACGTGGAGCAACATTGCATGCTGCCTAAGGAAACAAAAAGTTTAAGGGAATCATCCAAAGTAAAAGGGAAGTAATAGCTAACAGCAGTTGCTCACAGACGTTAGGTACATGCTAGGTATTCTTTTAAGAGCTTTACTGTACAAGGTGCACCATCACCATCAGAGGAAGGTATTATTATATCCTGATTTACTGATGTCAAAACCAAGGCCAACAAAGAGTGAATGAGGAACCACACAGCTATGAAAGTGGAAAGTCAGGATTCAATCAAACCCAGGCAGTCAGATTCTGAAGTCTGTGGTCATATAAATACTCAACACAATTCTAATTTATCCTTCATTTTCTAGTTCGAAAAGCAAAAACATGAGTACCAATTTTAATTTTGAAGGTTCCAATGCTTCTTTAAACATCAGGTAATAAAATGGCTTAATACATGCTCACCTTCTGAGCAAACATGCTATAATAGGCCAGAAAAGTAAAAAGCACAAGAGTTAAAAGCATAGCTCTCTGCAGTCAGGCAGATGTGTTTAAATCGTGGCTCCACCATGCACCAGCTGTGTGGCTCTCAGACCTCTCTGAGCCTCAGCTTCCTTATGTTTTATCACAGCATTGCCCTGAACAATAAATGAAATCATGTATGCAAGGCACTTGATTTGGTACCTGGCACATAAGGCTTGAACGGCTTGAACCTGGAAGGCAGAGGTTGCAGAAAGCTGAGATAGTATTCACATCTCAAACACCCACTGTTATCTTATGCTGCTGGCTCAATAAATAAATAGTAATTACCATTATTTTTGTTACTTACATAGTCTTTCTGAGAAACCTTATAACACACAGAATATCATGATTTACTAGGTAGTCAGAAGAAAACACAATTAAAAATACAAAGTAAATGGTTCACAACGGTTGGTGTTAGCCTAATTTTTATTTTGTTTTGTTATATTTATTTATTTATTTATTATTTTTAAGACAGGGTCTTACTCTGTTGTCCAGGCTGGAGTGCAGTGGCACAATCCTAGCTCACAGCAACCTTGAACTCCGGGGCTCAAGTGATCGTCCTGCCTCAACTTCCCTAGTAGCTGGGACTACAGGAGCATGCCACCGTGACTGACTAATTAATTTTTTGTAGAAACAAGGTCTCACTATGTTGCCCAGGCTGGTCTAAAACTTCTAGGCTCAAGTGATTCTCCCACTTCAGCCTCCTGAGTAGCTGGGACTATAGGCACATGCCATCACACCTAATGTTTTTTTAATTGTTTTTAAAGACGGGATCTCACTATATTGTCCAGCTTGGTCCTCCTGCCTCAGCCTCCCAAAGTGTTGAGATTACAGGCATGAGCCACTGCACCCTGCCTGTTAGTCTCGTTTTTAAAAATCCTGGCTTAGTGTGGCTTAGATGTCATAATCTATGCTATTCAGAATGTTTAATTTCCACTAATATTACAGATTCTATTTTTAAATTGAGCCAAAAGCATTATTCCAGGTCTGAAAAACAAGAAAAACTGCCAGTGTAACTTCTTGGTATTAACACTTTCAATACCACTACATATATTTTAGAACAACTATCTGCCAAGAAACATTGGGAAAAAAAAAAAAAAGAGCAAAAAAAGGAAGTTTTATATACTGCAAACAATATGTATAAATTATGAGATGTGTACAGATAAGACACTCCAGGGGTTAAAGCAGGCTCCCACCTATAATTCACTAATTCCAAAGTTACACACACACACGTGTACACCACCACAAAAGACAGAAAAAAAAGTTGTAACAATTCAGATCCCCACATGCATCTTTTCCGACATATTCTAAATATACTGTTTTCTTTTCTTTTCTTTTTTTTTTTTTGAGACGGAGTCTTGCTCTGTTTCCCAGGCTGGAGTATAGTGGCACAGTCTGGGCTCACTGCAACCTCCACCTCTCGGGTTCAAGTGATTCTCCTGCCTCAGCCTCCTGAGGAGCTGGGATTACAGGCGCCCGCCACCACGCCCAGCTAGTTTTTGTGTTTTTAGTAGAGACGGGATTTCACCATGTTGGTCAGGCTGGTCTTGAACTCCTGACCTTGTGATCCACCCCCCCCCCTTTTTTTTTAACACAAGGTCTTGTTCTATTGCCCAGGCTGGGGTGCAGTTGCACAACCATGGCTCCCGGCATTCTCCAACTCCTAGGCTCAAGCAATCCTCCTGCTGCAGCCTCCAGAGTAGCAGGGACTACAGGTGTGCGCTACCATGCCCAGCTAATTATTTTATTTTTTGTAGAGATAGGGTCTCACTTTGTTGCCCAGGCTGGTCTTGAACTCCAGGCCTCAAGTAACCCTTCCGACTCGGCCTCCCAAAGTGTTAGGATTACAGGCGTAAGCCACTGCACCCAGATTCTTGTTCATTATGAGCTTTGTTTCACCTATAAGGGGTACCCTGAGCCTCTGTTGTCAGGCTACATTGTAGCGAGGTCTCAGAGCAGAATTTATTTTTTAAAAAGTAGCCCCAGCTGGCCAAAAGGAACCAAACATAGATGAAATGTCATAGTAGGAATTAAAATGACTGGTTTAACACTCAACCACAAGCAATAAAGGATAACTCAGATATGAAGGACAGTGGGTTTATAGTGTAATGACAAGATCAAAGCAGTTCGCAAGCCTGGCTGCATATTAGAATCATCTGTGGACTGTTGTACACATATAGACACTAGGACTCTAACATGGAAATTCTGAACTCAATTGGCTTGCAGTGGGCTATGGTATTTTCAAAGAGCTCCAAAGGTAATTAAGATATACAGCCAGGTCCCAATCCTTGGACAAAGATTTAGGAGCCACACTACTACAACTTACAAAAGGGCCAGAGAAGCCCTGGTCAATTTTCCACATCGAGTGAAGAAAGGGGTCCCAGGCATTTTTAGAAAGTACACTGGCTGAGCGCAGTGGCTCACACCTGTAATCCCAGCACTTTGGAAGGCTGAGGCAGGCGGATCTGCTTGAGCCCAGGAGTTTGAGACCAGCCTGGGCAACATGGCAAAACCCCATCTCTACAAAAAAAGCATTAGCCAGGCATGGTGGTGCATGCCTGTAGTCCCAGCTACTTGAGAGTCTGAGTTGGAAGGATTGCCTAAGCCCAAGGTGGAGGCTGCAGTAAGCAAAACTACACCACTGCACTTCAGTCTGGGCAAAAGAGGGAGCCCTTGTCTCAAAAAAATAAAAGTAGAAAGCACATTACGGCTGGCTTACTGGGCATCACTTTAAGGAAACTACAAGCATACCAATAAGCAGCACCTTCTAGAGCCATCATAAAACCCAAGAAAGGAAAACCACTAGGCTCTGACTGGCAGAGGCAGAATCTTCTTGGGGATCTACAAATGACTGGTCACAGTCATTTGCCTTGCTTTGGGCTGGGCGTGGTGGCTCATACCTATAATCCCAGCACTTTGGGAGGTTGAGGTGGGTGGATCACTTGAGGCCGGGAGTTCAAGACCAGCCTGGCCAACAGAGCAAAACTCCGTCTCTTCTGAAAATACATTAGCTGGGCGTGGTGGTGCACACCTATAATCCCAGCTACTCAGGAGGCTGTGGCACAGGGATTGCTTGAAAGTGGGAGGCGGAGGTTGCAGTGAGCCCAGATCACACCACTGCACTCCAGCCTGGGCAACAGAGTATGACTCTGTCTCCAAAAAAAAACAAAAAAAAGTTGCTTAGCAGACTGTTCTTAAAGCCCAATACAGTGTTTATGTGCTTGTACGAGGGAGAATAGGTGACCCTGTTTTAACTCCCTTGAACTATTCTGTTCATAGGTGAGGTCACATAACAACGACAAAGACTAGCAAAACAATGGTTAGAGAAATGGTTAATATTTCCTAATAGTTGATGTCTCAACAGACCAGGATGTTTGTACAGCCTATGTAACAGGAGACTGGCTCAATTCAAAAATATGGTCAGATATAAGTTACATATTACTCACACAAACTCCAATTCACTTATGCCACCTAACCATGTCCTCTGGAACACACACAGTACACGCTTTGAGAAAATTCACTTGTGAATTATTAATGCATTTTACAAGCAAAAGAACAAACACTAAATGACTGATTTTCTACCTGTAGCATCTGACTTTTTCCTAGGCCTGGATCTCCAACAACAAGGATGTGTGGGTCTCCTCGAATTGGAATTCTGTTTTTGTCATCTGCAAATTTCTGGCTTCCTCCAAAGAGTGCTAATGCCAAACCTGCTTTAACAAGCTCAAGTGCGAAAAAAAGAACAAAAAACAAAAGTAAGGAAAACATAAAGATGACTAGTAAAGAAGGTACTCCCCTACTTCTATAACATTGATTTGTTTGGGGATTGCTTTAATTGCCTGATTGAATGTTAATTTTTTTCTAAGAAAAGGAAGTCTAAAAACAAACTTCTATCATGTAAATGATTAAAAAGTAAAAACTTGAAAGCATACAAAATCAGAGAGGTATCTTAGAAATTACTAAGCCCTACCTTGCAAGGCATAAATCCATTCCACAAAAACGAGAAATATTTTTTTTTCTGCTTTAATACTGGCAGTGTCTAGTCACTTTAAAAGCCCATTTCTTACCAAAAGTAGCTGGGTGTGGTGGCACGTGCCTGTAGTCCCAGCTACTTGGCAGGCTGAGGTGGGAGAACTGTTTGAACTTGGGAGATGGAGGTTGCAGTGAGCCGAGATCGCACCACTGCACTCCAGCCTGGGCGACAGAGCAAGACTCCGTCTCAAAATAAATAAATAAATAAAATAAAAGTCCATTTATATTTACTCTAGTTGGTAAAAGTTTTTTCTTAAAAGGAGCTATACGGCTGACACCTATAATCCCAGTACTTTGGAGGCTAAATTGGGTGGATCACTTGAGGCCAGGACTTAAGAGACCAGCCTGGGCAACATGGCAAAATCCCATCTCTACAAAAAATACAAAAAAAGTAGCTGCACATGGTGGAGGACGCCTGTAGTCCCAGCTACTAAGGAGGCTGAGGTCAGGAGGATGACCTGAGCCCCAAAGCTCGAGGCTGCAGTGAGCTACGACTGCGCCATCACACTCTAGCCTGGGTCACAAAGCGAAACCCTGTCTCAAAAAATAAAAAAATAAAAATAAAGGAGCTATAGTTTGCTTGCCTCCCATATTAATAGTTTACAAATAAAGATTCATGTTAAAATATAAATAACTGGCCAATAGAAATTTGCTACTTTCTGGAAAGTCTTTGTATGTTATTTTTGCTAACTTTGTATACTTTTTGAGTAAAGACGAAGTAAAATACTTACTTCATGACCAAAAATGACAGGGCAAAGCGAGCTGAAAAACAGAACACAACTTATAAATTCTAATTTATACTTCATTGATCCATTAGATCTCCTTTACAATTTGTTTAACTTGCTTAATATCAACAAAGACAAATGTAAAAAATTTACATCCCCTCAACTCAAATTTTATTCTTACAGTAAATTTCTCAAAATTCTTGGTTAATCTATAAAGGTTAGAATGTTTTAAAAAAACTCTGCCTGGATAAGGAAAAGAGGATACTTGCAAAGCATCTTAAAGTAACCAAATACAACGTTGCTCTTCTTGTACAACTGGCCTTAAAATGCATCACAATCATGGTCTTCCATTTTAGGATACAGGATTATATTGTATTTTATGTGAATAGACATCTTGAGACTGTGAAGCCAAGACACTGACAGGAGACTAGGAAGTGAACTCAGTATATAATAGTGTAAGATGCGGTAAAATTTCCTTTTTTTCAGTTCAAGTCAAAAGGTCAAATTAAATAAGAAAATGAGGCGGGGTGCAGTGATTTGTAGAACCAGAAAGTTCAGAAAGGTGGGATAACTCAAAGCATGGGCCTCCAGGCTACAGGTAAATCTAAACATTTTCTGGTTGACAATTGGTTGAGTTTGTCTAAAGACCTGGGATCAACAGAAAGGAATGTTTGGGTTGCAAGAGGTTGTAGAGACCAAAGTTTTATCATGCAGATGAAGCTTTTAGCTAGCAGGTTTGAGAGAGAACAGGCTGTAAAATGTTTCTTATCAGACTTAAAATCTGTGTTGATGTTAATGCCAGAGAGGTATAAGGCATGTCTGACCCCCACTTCCCTTCGTGGTCGGAATCAGTCTTTCAGGTTATATCTTGAAAGCCCTGGCTGAGGAGGAAGTCTGTTGAAATGGGTGGGGGGGGGGGCCTTAGAATTTTATTTTTGGTTTACAGGTTCATGCCTGTAATCCCAGCATGCACTCTGGGAGGCCAAGGTGGGAGGACTGCTTCAGCCCAAAAGTGCAAAACTAGCCTGTGCAACAAAGTGAGACCCCAATATCTAAAAAAAAAAATTAAAAATTAGCCAGGCGTGGTGGCACACACCTTTAGTCCCAGCTACTTGTGAGGCTGAGGTGAGAGAATAACTTGAGGCCAGGAGTTTGAAGCTACAGTGAGCTATGATTGTGCCACTGCAATCCAGCCTAGGCAACACAGCAAGACCCTGTCTCTAAAAAAAAAATTTAAAAAAGAAAAAGAGTATAAAGCAGTACATTTATATTTGTCAATTTATAAACAAGGAACAAACAAAAATAGGGTGGGAGAAAAAACCAGGAGTAAAATGTGAGTCTTTATTCCCTTTTAATATATGTAAACACAGAAGGAAGTGGTAGTGTGCTCACATCCCCTTGGCACTCACTGTTCAGTATGTTCCGACTTCCTACTGGCACCTGCACCTGTCTGCCAAAGACCTTTCTATGGCCACACAAGCATCATCAGCAGGCAGGATGGACAGGCCAGAAGTGCTGAGGTGTTTAATACTCCTGGGGGCAGTCCCAAATGTAGGCCCTTCAATGGAAAAATATTGAGGCTGGCTTTCCACAGTGGAGTGTTCCACTGGCCCAGGAGGATTATGTCCCAGATGCTAGTGGGTCACCTGTTCGTTAAGGCACCTACACTAGCTGCAATCACTTCCCCATTTCCCTACCAGTAACTCCAGAATCACCTGCCAAGTAAACTATGTTGACCCAAATCATTGCTTCTGAAGGAATCTAAACTAAAACATAAACTTCCACTGTCACCTAGGCTGGGTTGACAAACTTTTTCTTTTTTTTTTTTTTTGAGACGGAGTCTTGCTCTGCCGCCCAGGCTGGAGTGCGGTGGCCGGATCTCAGCTCACTGCAAGCTCCGCCTCCCGGGTTCCCGCCATTCTCCTGCCTCAGCCTCCCGAGTAGCTGGGACTACAGGCGCCGCCACCACGCCCGGCTAGTTTTTTGTATTTTTTTAGTAGAGACGGGGTTTCACCGTGTTAGCCAGGATGGTCTCGATCTCCTGACCTCGTGATCCACCCGTCTCAGCCTCCCAAAGTGCTGGGATTATAGGCGTTAGCCACCGCGCCCGGCTGACAAACTTTTTCTTAAAGGGCCAGGAAGTAAGTATTTTCAGCTTCGCAGGCTATACTGTCTCAGTCACAACTACTCAACTTGTAAACCCGCAAGCAACTATGAACAGTAAGGTAAGCAAGCAGGGTGGGGCTGTATTTTAATAAAACTTGACTTACAAAAACAGGCAGCCTGCCTAGTTTGCCAATCTCTACTAGACTGATAATGGAGGACCATGAAAAATTCTAGTTTTGATGCTGAAATCACAAACATGGGGGGGGGGTGGGGAAGCAAACTGTGGGAAGAAAACTAAAGTTTTCCATACTTTTCTATAAATATGGGAGAAGAGGGACCACTAAAAACGTTCAGTTTTAATTTAATTCATAACCATTAAGAGGAACCAAAGATATTTGGATTTTCAACCAGGTTGCTTCCTTGGCCACCTGCTCAAAGGACTCACTCCCAGACTACCCCAGCAACCCTAGATTAGAGCAGCCTCTCTTCCAGGGTGGGTCTGGATGGCTATTTATTCAGAGGGAAGTAGGATTTAGGGACAAAAAGCCCCTGTGGAGCACTATTCTTTACTCAGTCGGCTAATTAACATATTAAAGCCAGAAAGAAAAAGCATCAACTCCTCTTACAGACCTGAGCCTACTGAACAGCAAAGCATGACAAAATCACTATTTTTTAATTTTATTTTGTTTTATGAGACAGAGTCTTGCTCTGTCACTAGGCTGGAGTGCAGTGGCACAATCTCAGATCACTGCAACCTCCACCTCTCAGGTTCAAGAAATTCTCCTGTCTCGGCCTCCCAAAAAGCTAGGATTACAGGTGCCCGCCATCATGCCCAGCTAATTTTTCCATTTTCAGTAGAGACAGGGTTTCACCATATTGGTCCGGTTGGTCTCAAACTCCTGACCTCAGGTGATTCACCCGCCTCAGCCTACCAAAGTGCTGGGAATACAGGCGTGAGCCACCGTGCCTGGCTAAGATCACTTTTTATAATACAATGTATTTCAAAACATTCTCAGTTCTTCACCTCTCTTAGATATATCTATTATTCAGTCTCTCTCATTTTCTCCGATTTCTTCAAAATTACCCCACAATTGTCAAAAAATTATCAAAAGTAACAGTATGTTGCAGTAATTAAGTACATTATAAAATCCCACTTAATCTTTAGAACAACCTTCTGAGGTAAGTCTTACTATTTCCATTTTAAGGTGATACAAATAAAGGGGAAATTAAGTAATGTGTCCCAGATCACACTGGAAGTAAATGCCCAAAGCAGGAGTCTAACTTAGGTTTGTCTCCAAAGAAAAGCTCTTAACCACTAAAGCAAAAAATGCCTATACTTTGCTTCTTCTCCACGGCATGGCAATAGCATGGAAATAAAATTATCAAATATTTATTGAATATATATTACTTCTATTTGCATCTCTATGAACAACACCCTACACAGAACTAATTGAAGTGGCTTTGGAATTCACTGTCACCTCACTCTTCTGTTGAGCAACAAACTTCTTGTGTAAGATAGTAAACACTCCGTATTGTTTAAACTAGAGATCAGCAAATTTTTTCTATAAAAGGACAATGCAAAAATACGTGAGCCATGTATATGTTCTCTGTCACAACTATTCAACTCTGCCACTGCCGCACAAAAGCAGCACACTATGTAAATCAATGAGTGTGGCTGTGTTCCAATAAAACTTTATTTATGGACACTGATATCTGATTTTCCTTTTTTTTTAAAGACAGAGTTTCACTCTTGTTGCCCAGGCTGAAGTGCAATGGTGCGATCTTGGCTCACTGCAATCTCCATCTCCCAGGTTTAAGTGATTCTCCTGCTTCAGCCTCTCAAGTAGCTGGGATTACAGGCGCCTGCCTGCCACCACGTCCGGCCAATTTTTGTATTTTTAGTAAAGACAGGGTTTCACCATGTTGGCCAGGCTGGTCTCAAACTCCGGGCCTCAAGTGATCCACCCACCTCGGCCTCCCAAAGTGCTGGGATTACAGGCATGAGCCACCACATTCGGATGAAATCTGAATTTCATATAAGTTCATGTGTTGTGAAATATTCTTTTAAATTTTTTCAACTGTTAAAAAATATAAAAACCATTCTTAGTTCATAGGCCACACTCAAGTGGATGGTGCACTGGATTTGGTACACAGACTTTAGTTTGCCAACCATTTTGACTAGTTTTTTGTTACCTGTAGCCAAGAGAACCCCCAACATGCATGTATGTAGTAAAATTTCAAATGACAGCGTACATACTTGACAATGAGTTTAAACAGGTTTTCTTCAGCTTGAATCTCTTGGATGGCATAAAGGTCTTTAAGTGAGAACTCCATCAACATTCCATGCTTACACCCATCCTCAGAACTCTTTGTTTTCTGTCCTTTGCTGTTACTAATAGAATTTGCTTCAATGTACAAAAGGAACATACACTTGTCATTCTTATTTCGAGAACCTGTAAATTAAAAGTTTTAAATACAATAGTTGGTATTTTTATTTTCCCTACAATGACTCAACTAGAATATAAAACAAAGTCATAGTGAGCTACAAATAAATGTTTTTTTTTAAAGGGAATGTTTCATCTTATGTAAGCAAAAGAAATTCCTCAAATTATTTGAGATTCAGGAGCATCTTAGAAAAGACGAATGTTGACAAATAATTATTGAGAGACAAATAATGAAAAGAGTTGTACCATACCTTCTTCTGCATTTGAGACTTTGACAATTCCAGTAACAGTCACTGTGTCTCCCGGGACACAGCTATCCACAAGATCGTGAACAAGCTCACATTCTATTGTTCGTGGAATCCGACCTGCTTCTCTCTGATCATCAGACATCAACTCCTGAATTCTAAAAAGTTTAAATAGTTTTCAGTTAGAATACTTACTTTGGATGGTTTCTGCAAGACATTAACTATTCAGAGTTCACATGATGCTGAGCAAGATAAAGGCAGATTTGTTTATTAACAGTTTAATGGTGTATCTAAAATTACTTCAGCAGTTTCCAATTCAAGATAGCAGAATGAGTGTATGTATTTGCCTAGCCTCCCTCTAAAATGTCCATCAAAATGAGTCACTAAAAATTTGGGGGTATGTAGAGGTATCATCAGAAAATGAGATATTAATGAAATTTTTGAAAACAGCAAATGGTAAAGTATTGACGGATAAAACAAAATGAAGTCCGGAATACATATAGGCAAAAGCTACAAGTGTACAAGAAAAGTGGGACCCAATGTTCTTAGCAGAGCCCCAGAGGAGCTTCCAAGTTGGATGTGGCAGGAATGGAGAGCAGGAGTGGATGGCTGGAAGAAAACAGGGTTATCAATTGAAAGACAATAGTTGTTGAGAATTTTGGAGAAGGTGAGTGGACAGTGGGTAGGGGAAGAATGAGTACTTTATCATCTGGCAAAAACCAGAGCACTGTTCTAAGGAAACAAACCCATCTCCTCTGTGAAGGGAGCTAAAGTGTGCAGTGAGAATATCAGAGCTTCAGAACAAAGACTCTTCATTCTACCATTTGAGAAACCCCAATTCCAATTCAAAAACACATTCATAAAGCAAAATCTGACAGCCCACACCCCTATCTTTGTATTCAGAGGTGAAGTCTTGTGAGAAAAAACTACTACCTCAAAAATTGCAAAGGAAACCTATCCTACCTACTTCAAATACTTTCTCATTCCTCATCAGATATTTGAAAACTAAATGGCAATAATTCAGGAGCATTAAAAACAAAAAACTGCCTAAGAGTTTTGAGAAAATATTGCCATCATAAAACAGGAATAAGCTGCTATAAAAAGGGAACTATGGGAATACAAGTACGAAATCAAGAAAATTTAAAGTATGTATATAAAAATCAAACATTTGTAGAGAAGATATAAGAAAAAGCCAAAGAAATCTAGAAAACAGCACAAAGAAAATGAAAGAATGAGGAACAATTTAAAACAGATGAATAATCCAAGGACTGCCTCTGACAGGAAGCTGAGAAAACAGTCAGATATTCTAGAGTTGAAGACAAAAGACCTTGCCAATCAAGCAGCATAGAGACTAGATACACTTTCACTGTTTCAGAGCATGACAGATAAAATGGTTACAAAGAGGAGGAAAAGTCCAGTCTTCAAAGGAATGAGAATCAGACCAGCACCAGACTTCTCATAAACAGCAGAGAAAATTAAAACCAAATAGACTTCGATAGCTGGCAAACTCTTAGCCAGACTAAGATCCAAATAAAGACATTTTCAGACATGCAAGGGCTTAGAACTTTTTACCTGTCATGTATACTTTCTGAAAATTTACTTGAGAATACTCCTTAGAAAAACAAAATGTGCAATGAAGCAACATCCCAGGATGAAGCAGGAATGCAGGTCTGGAGAACTACTGATCCAGACTCAAGCAGAAGGAAGGTGTGTTTTTTTGTTTTTGTTTTTTAAGAATAAAAGGTGGATTCCATGTATTCCATAGTATATTTAAGAGAGAATGGAAAATTATGGTGAAATGGCACAGGCATACTCTAAGAAGTAAAACCAGCACTCAGAAACTTTAGGAAAAATAAAGTACTAAACAGCAAAGTTACAGTCCAAATATGATGCACACTAAAATGTGGGATAATTCCAAATAACTAGCAGAGTATAAGAAAAGATAATTTGATGCTTGGGTTATTTTCATTTAAGGGGTAAAAACCAACAAAACAAAACTACAAAACCCAGTGACATAAATTACATCTCCTTGGCTTGGCATTTGATCACTTCACTTGGTTCTTTGTTGAGCTATATTTACATTTTTATGTTAATAAAATGGCAAGGGAAAGGAGTAGAAGGACCGCCGTAATGAGGACTCATCAGACGAAAAGGGGTGTTCAATACTGGGACAAAGCTGGAGGTTTTATGTTTTGTGGTAATAAAGTTATTGGCCCCTAAAATGGAAGAGACACCTGCCAAGTGGAGCGTGAAGATGGTCAGATCCACAGACGCTTCTGCATGTGCTAGGTTTCCTGCTAAAGGGTTAACTGTACAGCCAGATTCAGCACCGGCTTCGACTACTGAGGACGCAAGTAGGAGTAGAAAAGATAGTGGGAGAAGTCAGAAGCTCATATTATTTATCTGTGGGAATGCCATATCGGGCATTTTTATTAACATAAAAATGCAAATGCCTGTTTATTGTTGTTGTTAGACATGACCTATAAATAAAGTCTGGAAGACAATTAGAAGACAAAAGGTAAACCTTGACAATTTAAAGTAATGTCGAAACTGAGAAAGTCTAGAAGTGGAAGATAAAAGAACAAGTATGTTTCTAAAGTCCTCAGCTCACATAGAATGAATGCAGTAAAGCGAAGGATGAAAGACATGCAAGAATGGTATCTAAAGTTATGTATAATGTAATAGCAAGTTGTGGGGACTGTGCCTTTCCACACTGATTGAATTTTTAAAAACATGTACATGTTATTACATTAAAGCATTTTTTACTTAATAATTAATGTAAGTACAATCATTGAACATTAAAATAATAACTTTGGAATACATTCATCATACATCTAGATTACCTCTCAATGTTTTTCAGGTCATGGGCCAGGTGCTGGCATCCACCTAACCTGCATGACTTCAAACCCTGCTCCAAGTTCACTCACCACTTCACCATCAATTCACCCCCCCAAGACCCACTTTTTAAAGATCAGTCACGTGCAGTAGTGAGAAGGAAGGAAAGAGTAGAACAAGGAGTTTGATCTGTAAGTGACTCTGAATAATCAATGGAAATAACTCACTACCTCCAGACTAACCCTTTGTCCCTCTTAAGTGGTAAAAGTCCCACAGACTGGGTTGGAAATCAGGCTTTACTATACTCATAGGCTACACGATCATACTCAAGAGTCTTAAACATTTCCTCTTATAAAACGGGGTGTTTGTAAAGATCTCACTATAGTACAATTATTACACATGTCGGTCTTAATTTTTCAGGGAAGAAGGGGGTGAAGCAGTTAGTAGCAGACCATCTTATCTTTTCCCTAGGTTCTTAGTTTTTAGGACCATCTCATTTCAGCCAGGTTTCCTAGAGAGCACTGACTTCAAAACCATTCGTTATTTTATATTTAGGGATGAGCTATAGGTCTACAGCTAGAAAAAACGGAATCAATTACGGGATGAAAAATACATACACAAAGAAAACTCTGACTTGCAAAAATAAAAAAAGCTATTAAAAAAAACCTATAGTAAAATGCCCCATTGCAACATTGAGAACATAAAATGAAACATGCCATTTCAAAGGAAGTCTTTATCTGAAAACTTCAAAACAATATTATTTCTATCACAGCTTATTATGGAATGAATCATACAACTTTGCTTATGGCCTATATCCAGTTCAATTAATCACATAATTGAGATATAAAATCAACTATTTCTCAGTAGGACATAATATTTGCATAATTAATCCTTTCCGGAATCTGACAGACAATAAATTTCAAATAAAGACAATTATTTCAGCCAGGAGTGGTGGCTCATGCCTGTAATCCCAGCACTTTGGGAGGCTAAGGCGGACGGATCACAAGGTCAGGAGATCAAGACCATCCTGGCTAACACGGTGAAACCTCTAAACTAAATCTCTACTAAAAATACAAAAAACTTAGCCAGGTGTGGTGGCGGGCGCCTGTAGTCCCAGCTACTCGGGAGGCTGAGGCAGGAGAACGGTGTGAACCCAGGAGGTGGAGCTTGCAGTGAGCCAAGATCGTGCCACTGCACTGCAGCCTGGGCGGCAGAGCGAGACTCCGTCTCAAAAAAAAAAAGGACAATTATTTTAACATACAAACTCTTCATCAAATAAACCGTCTACTATACACTATTATACACTTTGTCATTGTTTAGATAAAACGTACAATATAATACAGCAAAATTAAGGATTTACTCAACAGTGTGACATCTAAAGCCTGCCTTTTATATAACAGATTGCTTACTTGATTGACTGCCAGTCCATTGTAACTGTGAGAGGAGAGCTGCGGAGAGCAGTAAATGACCTGCCTCGACATGCAGGCACAGGACACTGAATGAAACAAAAGTAATTCACATTCAGATTTTGATAAACTATAATCACACCTCAGGAAAATTCAGTTAAAACATTTCATTTAACATTGTTTTAAAAGTTGGTCTCACGATGCTAGTAAAGCAAAATCCAAGGACTATTTTCTCCTGCAACAATTTAATATCAAGAGCTTTTGAGGCACTTTCCAACTGATCCTTCTCGCTTACTGTTCTTATCCTGCTATGGGTATGCAAGGTGCTTTCCTTGCCTCCCACAGGAAGCACTTACTGCTCCTCTGTGCTCGTGCCACCTCTCGCTCCTTGAACGCCCCCTCTCATTCTGTCCCACATGCCCAGTGCCAATCCTCTCCTTTTCAAAAGGCTTTCCAGAGTTTTCTTTAATCCCCAGCTTTCTCATCTAGGCTCCTTTTGCACTTTCTGTATAGTGTAATATTTATTACACCACACAGGCACTTGTTTGGTGTTTGGATCTCAAGACGCATTTATAAATTCAGACTGTGGCAGACTGTACTTGCCAAATATGATTGCAACAATATTTCTCTTCGACCTTTTTAGAAACTTGCTACTCCTCCATTAAGAAACGGAGGCTAGGCCGGGCGCGGTGGCTCAAGCCTGTAATCCCAGCACTTTGGGAGGCCGAGACGGGCGGATCACGAGTTCAGGAGATCGAGACCATCCTGGCTAACACGGTGAAACCCCGTCTCTACTAAAATACAAAAAAAAAAAAAAAATTAGCCGGGCGAGGTGGCGGGCGCCCGTAGTCCCAGCTACTCGGGAGGCTGAGGCAGGAGAATGGCGTGAACCCGGGAGGCGGGGCTTGCAGTGAGCTGAGATCCGGCCATTGCACTCCAGCCTGGGCAACAGAGCTAGACTCCGTCTCAAAAAAAAAAAAAAAAAAAAAAGAAACGGAGGCTAATTCCTTCTCCTGGAATTTGAGAAGGCTTGTGACTCACTCTGTAACCAACAGAATGTGACAGAGTGATGTTGCACAACTTCTGAGATTAGCTCACAAAAGGCAAGGCCATTTCTGCCTACCAACTGGACTTCTTGCCTTGAAGCTGTCAGCAGCCATATAAGCAGACTGAGCGCCCTGAGCTGCTATACTGTGTGTAAGCAGCCCAAACTAGCCCACACAGCCACATGGAGAAGAGGATGCCTGGCCAGTCCCCAGCCACCTTGCTGTACTCCAGCCACAATCTGACTACAACTCCATGAGAGGCCTGGAGCTAGAACTAGCCAGTTGAGTAGTTCTTCCAAACTCCTGACCCACAGGAATCATAAGAATAAAATGATCGGCTTTATTTTCAGCCATTGAGTTTTGGGGTGATGTGTTATGCAGCAATAGTGGCTGGAAAAGAGATCAACTGAAACAGCCATCTTTCTGTCACTTCAAATCCCTACAGTTCAGACAAATGAAGGACCTCATCACGACATCACTCATGAGTCAATGCTACCACCTACTTTATTAGAGAGCATGAAAATACCCTGTACAAATACTGTCTAGAAAATTTGATTTAAGGAGGTCGAGGCTGCAGTGGGCTGTATTCATGTCACTGTACTCCAGCTTGGGTGACAGAGTGAGAGCCCGTCTTCAAAATAAAAGGAAGAAAATACCTGGTTTAAATCAGGATTTGAATTCTGGCCTCTGAGCTCAAGGCTGTACCTTGAACCTTAAGCCAAGACAAACACCACATGAAACCCATCTGTCAACACCACTGATTATTCAGAACCAATAGCTGAATCTCATATACCCTCTTCTTCCAGTAAGAGCAAGAAGCCTTAGGAATTTCAAACATCTTACATTTTCCTTTTTAATTCTTCAAGGGATTATTTACCTCACTAAGGATTCAAACCTTTACATGAGCAAAAATTTAGCAAATGTTAAATTTATTAAAGCCCAATGGTGATAAAGATGACTCTGGGTACCACCGAGGAAACATTATACATCCATGGTAATGAGGGCTTAATTAATAAATGGTGTCAGGACAAATAGCTTTTCACCTAAAAATTAGATCACTAGCTTGTTTTTTTAAGAGATGGGGGTCTCACTATGCTGCACAGGCTAGTCTCAAACTCCAGGGCTCAAGCGATTCTCCTGCCTCAGACTACTGAGTAGTTGGGACTACAGGTGCATGCCACCATGCCCAGCTTAAATTCCTAGTTTTATGCCATTCACCAATGCCTTAAATTCCAGATGGACAAAAGATCTAAAGATAAAAAACAAAACTTAGGGTTATTAGAAGCAAATGCAGGAAATATGTTTATAATGCTTGAGTGAAAAGGGCTTCTTATTTATTTATTTATTTATTTATTTATTGAGGCAGAGTTTCGCTCTTGTTGCCCAGGCTGGAGTGCAATGGCGTGATCTCGGCTCACTGCAACCTCCACCTCCCGGGTTCAAGCGATTCTCCTGCCTCAGCCTCCCGAGTAGCTGGGATTACAGGCATGCGCCACCACGCCTGGCTAATTTTGTATTTTTAGTAGAGATGGGGTTTCTCCATGTTGGTCAGGCTGGTCTCGAACTCCCAACCTCAGGTGATCCGCCCGCCCCAGCCTCCCAAAGTGCTGAGATTACAGGCATGAGCCACCACGCCCAGCCGAAGAACGGCTTCTTAAGCAGGGCATAAAATGTACAAGTTATGGAAGAAAAGATAACAATTTGATGTCAAAATGTAAAACTGTACAACAAAAAAACCCACAAAGTTAAAAGACAAACCAAAGACAGGCAGAAAATATCTAATGTACATAATCAACAATAATTAGTATCTAGAATGTATAAAGAACTCCTATCAATAAACTAATAGAACCGGGCACAGTGGCTGGCACCTGTAGTCCCAACTACTTGGGAAGCTGAGATGGGAGGATCACTTGAGCCCAGGAGTTCAAGGTTGCAATGAGCTATGATCATGTCACTACACTCCAGCCTGGGCAACAGAATGAGACACCATCTCTAAAACACAAAATTAAAGAATAAACCAATAAACAGGAAAATGAACATTAGATATAAATAGAAAACTCAATAAAGAAAGAAACTGAATGGCCAGTAAAGATATGAAAAGATGCTCAACCACAACAGAAATCAGAAAAATTCACATTATAAATGCAATATTATTTACACCTACCAAACTGTCAAAAATGTACAAGTCTAACAATACCAAGTGTTACTGAAAGTATGGAGAAATGGTAACTGCTTAACACTACCAGCAGGGATTTAAGTTGGGAACAATACCCTGGAAAGTAATTTGGTAACACCTAATGCAGTTAAAAATAAGTACAGCCGGCCAATCCCAGCACTTTGGGAGGCTGAGGCAGGCGGATCACGAGGTCAGGAGTTTGAGACCAGCCTGGCCAACATAGTAAAACCCTGTCTCTACTAAAAATAGAAAAATTAGCCAGGCATGGTGGCGCGTGCCTGTAGTCCCAGCTACTCAGGAGGCTGAGGCAGAAGAATTGCTTGAACCCGGGAGGCGGAGGTTGCGGTGAGCCGAGATCTCATCACTGCACTCCAGCCTGGGCAACAGAGCAAGACTCCGTCTCAAAAAAAAAAAAAAAAGTGCAGCCTACAACTTAGTGTTCCTCTGCTAAGGAAACATGTACAAGAATGTTCTCTGTAGTATCATTTGTAATTATAAAAAACTGGAAAGAGCACAATTGTCTACCTCCAGGAAAATGGATGAATAGTGGCTATTTATTTAAAGCAACACTCCACAACAGTAAAAATGAAAGAATTCGATATGTATTAAAATAGGTAGAACTTCAAAATAACCAAGTAAAAAAACAGCTGCATGTTACATTCAGTATACCATTTACGTAAACGCAATACAAAAAACTAACTCTACATACATAGTCAAGAATAAAAATGTAAACTTGAAGAACACACGCCAATTTCAGAATAGTGGTTGCATCTGGGGAGCAAATAAAGGGAATAAAACTGAGAACAGAGAGACTTCAACTTTAACTATGTAACCATATTTTTGTTACAAATTAAACTAAAACAACAAAACATTAATATTTGCCAAATCATAGAGTAGATAAATGTTAATTACACTATTCTCTGCACTTTTCCATAGTTTTAAAATCTAGTATAACTTCAGGATAATGATCATCCCTGGGAATGGTACAGGTAAAGGGTAAAACACAGACACTAATTGTGCCAGTAATGCTTTATATCATTAAAAAATGTATTTGGAGCTGAAAAACGTAAATTCGGGGTTACGAGTAGTGGAATGTTTTATTTATTTCTATATTTTTCTTACCCTGAAGTATTTCATAATATAAAAGCAGAAAATCAAAAATCAAAAATAAAAATAAGCTCTGTGTTTAGGAACATTGGGAAATGTTTTCTGTATTCTGATTTGCCTTCTTTACCAAAATAAATAAAGAAGCAGTTCAAGAACATATTACCTTTGTGGGAAGACTGTATTTTCCATCTGGAAGAGGAAAACTCTGAACTTCTCCACATGCAGCACAAAGAAAAGCCATCTTGGTGCAAAGAGGCTTTATATTACTGACACGAACCACTGTCCCTCTTAGAGCAATGTATTTTCCATAGTAATTTGCTCGGACATTCTTGAGCTGTGTCAAAGGCTCATAGTTGTACACCCTAAAGACAAAACAGAAACTTGATGTTTTTTATATTTTCACAAGTTTCTTTTAGGAGTAACTATGGAATTCTCAAACCAAATCATCCTTTTGATATATCAGAAATCTCACAAGAATTAAACCATTCTTGTTTTGTTTTGTTTTCTCGAGACAGAGTCTCGCTCTGTCACTAGGGTGGAGTGCAGTGGTGCGACCTCGGCTCACTGCAACCTCTGCCTCCCGGGTTCAAACGATTCTCCTGCCTCAGTCTCCCGAGTAGCTGTGATTACAGGTGTGTGCCACTACACCCAGCTAATTTTTGTATTTTTAGTAGAGATGGGGTTTCACTATGTTGGCCAGGATGGTCTCAATCTCTTGACCTAGTGATCCGCCTGCCTCAGACTCCCAGTGCTGGGATTACAGGCGTGAGCCACCGTGCCCAGCCAAACCATTCTTAGAAAGACACAACACTAAATCTTCCTTTTTCTTCTTATCTCACAGGCTGTTCTCAAGGAAAAAAGAAAAAAAAAATTTAAGGAAAAAAATAATGCCAAAAGGAAAATCTAGATTTAAAAACCTTTGGGTTTCTAAGTTCTTTTTAAAGAACTGCTAGGAAATTGCCTTCTATAAATTCTGGAAAAGAAATACAAAACTCCGATGATTAACTTATAATGAATTCTTCTAATGAATTTAAAATCTTAAGGATGAATTCAAGAAAAACAAAATAATTTCATTTATTCTCTTGTATCTAATAGAAACCTAATAATTGAACAAAATACACACCACTTTGTATATTACAGACTGAGTATATCCCTTATCCAAAATGTGTGGGACCAGAAGTATTTTGGATTTTTTTGACTTTCAAATATTGGCAATATTACTAGTTGAGTATCCCTAATTCAAAAATCTGAAATGCTCCAATGAACATTTCCTTTCAGTGTCATGTCAGGGCTCAAAGTTTTGAATTTTGGAGCATTTCAGATTTCAGATTTTCAGATTAGGGATACTCAACCCATACATGGATTATTAAACTTACACAGCAGGGTCTTGATAAGTTCACATCCAAAATCAATGTTTACAAAAATTTGCAGGTTAGAAAATCAACATTTTCTTCCTTATTTAGGAAGTATCTGTCATGATGTCTTTCAATAATTTTCAATGAGTTTACTTCAGTGTGATGATCAGTGAGATGGCAAGGAACTCATGTCCTTTTTACCGATTTCCTTGTTCTTATAAAATGAGGGTTCTCATTCTTAAACGGCCTTCAAGGTCCCATTCTAAGTAATAGTAATTTAATATGTCAAATTCCTCACCTTGCATGAATATGTGGCACATTTACCATTGTTTCTCCATCACTAGACAATCCTTCCTGGGCTTGTAACTCAGCTGCATGCCTTTCAAGGTCCTTAGTTAATACCTAAACAGGACAGATGTTTACTCTGAAGTTGGAAAACAAAATATCCTCTTTATACAGAACTCTATTTTTATAGAGAATATAAAGTTTATGGACAGAAACAGAATAAAAACAGAAAACTTTAACAGTCCTTTAAAAATCTAATATTTAATTATGACTACTTACTTTATAGTGGATCTTTTACTTTGGATTTTGCTGTCCCTGGACTGAAAAACTCCAGCATCCCAGTCTGCTACTTTCTGTCCCAACTAAACCTAACATTAAAAGCCCTTATAGTAGTCCTAAAAACCATCACCTCTTGATTCTAATTAAAAAAAAAAAGAAAGCATTCCTGTTTCTCTTTATTCACTGATCAGTCAAGACAGAGAAAATAAAAATGACCTTTAAAATACCTAATACTCACTCCCTTGGCATTTAACATTAAATAATATAAACAGGCTGGGCACGGTGGCTCACACCTGTTATCCCAGCACTTTGGGAGGCCAAAGTGGGTGGATCACCTGAGGTCAGGAGTTTGAGACCAGCCCGACCAACATGGTGAAACCCCATCTCTACTAAAAATACAAAAATCAACTGAGCGTGGTGGTGCATGCCTATAATCCCAGCTACTTGGGAGGTTGAGGCAGGAGAATCGCTTAAACCCAGGAGGCAGAGGTTGCAGTGAGCCAAGATGACACCATTGCACTCCAGCCTGGGCAACAAGAACAAAACTCCATTTCCAAATAAATAAACAAATAAACAAACATTTAATACCACTTGTGTACCGCAGTTTGCTGACAACCTAAGAGGCAAAATAAGATGCATATATATAGCTGTTAATTGTTATAAGGACCATAAAGATGTACAGACAAAATACCATGCAAGTTTTGAAAAGTTGTCACGAGAAAGGTTTTACAGAGAGACAACTGAGCTAGGCCCAAATAATCTATGTGAGGGGAAGGGGATTCTATGCTGAATGAATAGCACATGTAAGAGGTAGGAGAATGCCCCTCTGAATGCCCCAGCACTTTGTGTATGCCTGTCCTGAGATTTACTACACATTACCTTGAAGCATTTATCTGCTTGCTAGCCTCAAAAATGTTTTTGGCCGGGCACGGTGGCTCATGCCTGTAATCCTAACACTCTGGGAGGCCGAGGCAGGTGGATCACAAGGTCAAGAGATCGAGACCATCCCTGGTCAACATGGTTAAACCCCATCTCTACTAAAAATCCAAAACTTAGCTGGGCATGGTGGTGCACACCTGTAGTCCCAGCTACTTGGGAGGCTGAGGCAAGAGAATCACTTGAACCCGGGAGGCAGAGGTTGCAGTGAGCCGAGATCGTGCCACTGCACTCCAGCCTGGCAACAGAGCGAGACTCCACCTCAAAAAAATAAATAAAAAATAAATTTTAAAAATTTAAAAAATTTAAAATGTTTTCATATATGTTGTATTACCTGACCCTGAAAAAAACTCAGGCAGGCACAGTACAAATTGTTATTCACATTTGACATACAGGGACACTCAGTGGTTTGCCTCATGCCACAGAACCTAAATCTAAGGTTGCTCTTTTTTGCTCTAAGATCATAACTGATAACACCATGATTCCTTGTCTTATCTTCCCTATGAGACTGTATAACTTCTTGAAAGGAAGGTTTAATTTCTGCACAATCTTTAGCAAGATTAAGCAAATCCAAATGAGTTAGAAGTAAATATTTCATTACATAAGCTGTTGTATATAGAATGAATGGTATCTTTCAGAATGGTATTGCAACCTCTCAATTCTAGCCAACATCTTTTCGTAAAAGCTAAGTATCTCTTATAGAAGGTACAGTCACTGTAAAATCTTCCTTTAAACTTAGACAAGGTGTGCATGTGTGTGCAAACGTTAAAAAAGTTTAGACAAAAGTATGCATAAGACATATAGTTACCTGATGTATTGCCAAACCCATGCAAGCCAAAGTTTTCTCAGGTGCATCTCTTAGTTCATTTGCTGTATCTGGTATCAAGTTAGTTACTTCATCGTCTTTTATCAGTTCTTTAAAATCCACCAAAATACTTCCCTTTCTTTCTATTTCATCCTATAAAATAGAAAGTATGAAAACAATAATTGCTTTTCTGTAGTCAATTACCATTAACTGAGCATTCTGTTATACACTTTGAGAAAGCATACAATGTTTATATGTGATAATGGTAAGTACCCCATAAGTATAAGCTTTGTGCCAAGCATGGTTCTGATATTTCAAATATATTAATGTATTGATGCCTCTCAACAATCCTTTAAGGTAGGTATCTATACCTCTATCTCCAAATGAAAGAAAACCGAGGCACAGAGAAGTAATTGATTTAATCAAAGTCCATACTGCCGGTAAGTGGCAGAACTGAGGTCTGAACCAACGCAGTCTGACTCCAGTGCCTGTGACCATAATCACAAGTACCTCAAATACATTGATAAGATGGCATACGACTGGCAGCTTTGCTGTAGAGGAATCTTACCTTGTCATACAAATAAATATGCCTTGTGAAAAATTTTTCAAATGCTTGAATCTTCTCAATCAAAGGAGAGCTATCACTGTAAACTAATCCAACAAATATGGCATTAGCACTATAATCACACATGTACATGCGTATTTTTCATGAGACAAAAGCAGCACTATATACATGGCAGATGATTTTTTTCTAATTGCTTTGTATTTTGATTGCATTCATATAAAAACTGGTATAGAATGTAAACTTAAGATTCTAAAACAAATTTAGGTTTGCATAATGTGAAATGCAGACAGAAACTCTTCTCTCTCTAAAAGCCCCACTATCTGGGAAACTTTGTTTTGCATCTTTGACACCTAACAGGACATGTTAGTTCAAATAATTTAGATAATAAGCTTAAACCAAAAATTACAATAAAGTCAAAACCAGACACATAAACTAAGCTCTTATTCTGAAACAGAACTGAAGACAATCACAGTCTTTCCTGAGATCAGGAGACAGACCAACAACGCTTGACCGTGGTGGCCAAACTGAAAAGCATTTTTTTTTTTTACACTCTAAAGTTCTACATTTTCAAATATGTCTCTCACAGAAGAACAGTACAATAAAGTAGTTTGGAAGAACAGATGGTGAAGGCTAAGGCACCGCTTGAACTCCATCTTTAGGACTGTCCAAAAATCACTTATAGTGTTCTGAGCTACCTGCCAGGGGAACAATGTGAGTGCTGGTGACTAATACATCCTAAGGAACAAAAGATCATTCATGAAACAGATTCTACTGAAGGAAAAAAACGAACAGGTTTCCAATAAAGAAAACACTTGTAAAGTATTCTATTCATTCACAAAATGACTACTGAGTGCCTGGTACGGGAGGGTCCTGGACCTCAACAATATAGTGATTAAAAAAAAAGTATACACACACACACCCCTGATGAGACCCAAGAAACAAATGGGTATTGTAAGAGCACAGAAAAGACAGTTCCCTGCACCTATACAGACTGATGTAGGTTAACTGGTATTCTTAATTATCAAAGGGAGATTCCTTACCTGTGTTTCTACACAAAGCTCTATTTGTTATTGTTCCTTGATTTCAAGCCCAGTTCTTTCTGCTCTGTGATGCTATAATTCAGATCTGTACCCTACATGTCTCAGATTCTCTTTAAATTCTGCCAGTTGAAGGCACTTTAGAGTGTAGAAGGTGGCAGGAAGAGAGAAAGGAATTTATTGTTTGCAATTTTTTTCAGCATCTCTGCAGCTGCATAACGATAGTGTTAGCCTCCAGTTCCAAGCACCACTGAGTCATGCCCCCTCAGTTACCAGTGGCAAGCAGCTTCATTTGCCTTGTGGTCTGAGTACAGCTCTGTAAGGTAGCCTTCAGAAGTCTAAGCATAGGTTTGTAGGGTGCCCCTCAAAAGTCAAAATAACAGCTATGCTGTGACCTCTCCAACCTTTGAATTCCCACATTCTGGTAACCTCAGAACTTCTTTTATTCTCTTAGCTATAAGGATGGTTGCTGCTTCCTCAAGTTACTACTTTCTGGGGGGTTACCTCAGTATTTCCTTTCTACTCTTTCAGTCTTCCATTTTTGTATCCAATTTCTTGTATTAAGTCCCCTTTTTGAAATATCCGTATGGTTTCTGCTTTCCTGACTGATACAAAGTCTAAAATGCTTTTGAAACATAAACATCATTTAATTGTTTGGGTGAACTAAGATTAAAGCAGGTATATGTTAGTAAGTGAATTATAGTAATACAAGATATAGCATCCAAAGACAAGTTAAGAAAATATGATTTATGGTGCTTTTTAGCACTTTTTTAACCCTACCTTCAGAGAAATAAAGCTTCCAGCCTTTATATGGTATGAGCTGATCCAATGTTGACTGCATTGACTGTGGGGTCTTTGTTGAAAGCAAAGACTGTGGGGTTTGTTCTGAAAAAAATAAAATACTAGGTTGGTAGAAACAGAGTCAACATTTTTCCAATGTGCTTCTCTTTCCAAATGAGACTCTCATTAATAGAATATCCAAATTAGAGGTTCGAGTAAGAATCTGGGACGTCGATGTTCAAATACTTACTAAGGAGTAGCATGAAATAAAAGACAAACCGAAGCATGAGATAAACCGCCTTGTATGATAGACACGAATTGCTTCCTTCATTAAGTGAAAAAAATTCATCAATCATTGACCTCACCTACCAGAAGTATGTTTTCCTGTGGTTTTACTCAGATCAGGTCTGTGTCCTCTTTCTCTCCATTTTCCTGAGAAGTTCCCGCCACCTTTTCCTCTTTTCCAGCTTTGAAATCTTCCTCGTCCAAATCCTCTGCCTCTATACTCTCTATTCATCTCTCCTAAAAGACAGATATTAAAAAGGTCTTCACCAAAACTATAAGGAAAAGTGCTCCTAAAAATGTATTAATGTAATAAAAAAGGAAAAATTAATGTATTCTAGGTTCAAGACTAGCAAACAGGCTTGCAAAGTTGTGCACCTGTGATACAAGACCCAAGTTAAGTTTCTAATCTCTATCGTTTTAAGGTATGCCATAATAGTTTAATAACTATTAAATATGGTTTAAGTATACTAGACGCTCATAGGTTAAAAATAAGGACAGGTACTGTACCTGTTTACAAGAAGTACCCATCACAGAAATGAAAATAGGACAGGTAATAAACTCTACGAAAACTTATTCGCAGTATTTGAGACTTATTATTATAGGGCAGGACAGGATGAACATAATTCTGGCCTGTGAGACACTAGGGATACATCATCATAGCTTCTTACAGTCAATCCTGCAGTGTCACATTCACTTTTTGTGCAATTTTTCTGTAAATCCAAAATCGTTCTTTTAAAATACAAATCTACTTAAAAATGATTCATACCCTAACTATACAATAAAGATATACCTGTACACTGCACTGCAATTCATTATAAAATAACCTATCCAAATCCTTACTTAAAAGGGGTTTAGTTAATAAAACAAGTTAGTAACGACGAAGTTCACGATTTAACGGCATGACAGAGCTCCGATAATTAACTAGGCATTACGCATTATAAAACTGATGCTCAAAGAAATTAAGCAAACCGATCAAGATCAAAGTTGTCTGTTGACAGTACAGAGATAAAACTCTTTCAGGCTCCCAAGCTGAGGCGCTCCTTCAACAACGCTGTGTGCCATACCCTTCTCAAACGAGACAATACGCTGAGAATTGTAACAAATTCAAAAGACGTAAGAGGTAGGACCGGAGAACGAGTAAAAAATAACAGTTGGGTAGTTGTGCTTCTTTACTACTTTATTTACGTCTCCTAAGGCTAAGTTCTTACTTGCTTGGGACAGAGGTCCCAAACTTCTAGTTCACAACTGGGCCGGCTCCAGGATACGCGCAGATCTGTCCGGCCGGATTCTCCCTCCCCTCGTCCCGTAGAGAAGCACAACGGGACTAAGAGTCTCCGAGATCTAAGCTCCTCAGGCGGCTCCTGCCAAGTCCGCGGTTCTCTTGAGCCTCAGCTTTCCTGTGGTCCCCGCGCGGTGCTGAATCCCATCTTTCTCAACGGCTCGGGAAACTCAGTTTCCCCACCGCAGCTTCCAGAAAGTATCTGTAGCGTACAGCGCCGCAATCGTGCCTCAAGCGAAAATCAGGTGTTCCCCTAAATTCTTTTTTGGCGCTTCAATGATCCAACTTCCGCTCAAAGAAGCGGCAAGACGGGAGGGGAGGGGCGGAGTGCAGCCAATCAAGGAGTTTGGCCCGACGGAAGCCGAGAGGCTCCCGGAAGAGGTCTTGAGGTCTGGACCGGAAAGCGGAAGCGGCGTGTAACACGTGGGGGCGGTGCCGGTCGGCGGGCTCCTAGTGCGCCAGGCTGTGGGAAGTGAGGCTGGCGGTGGCTACAACCGAGGAGGAGGGGCGAGACGCCGTGGAGCACGGCGACCGGCTGAGCATCATGGAGGGCTCAGGAGAGCAGCCGAGCCCACAGCCACAGCATCCCGGAGACCACCGCATCCGCGACGGCGACTTCGTGGTGCTGAAACGTGAAGATGTGTTTAAAGCAGTACAAGTCCAGCGGAGAAAGTAAGTCAGATCGCTGACTTTAGGGGTCTCCCGCCCCCACCTTGTAGATACCCCCTCCCTCCAGGTCTCTCCACAGACCTCTCCCGCCAGGGTGCAGTTCTTGGCTCTCTCGGTCCCCATTCCCCGCCCTCGTCTCCTCGGATCTTTCTGTCACAGAAGGCTTTTCCACCAGGATCCCGTCCTCGAACCTCATAATCTCCCCTAACCTTCCTGTTTTCCCAGAGCCCCCTCCATGGTTTCATATCTGGCTGTCCACCTTCAGCATCCTTTTCAGTCTTTCCACAGGGTTGCTTCCCCAGAATTCCATTCTTGGCCCTAGGGTGCCAAGGCCTCTCTCTCCACACCCCTAATCACCTGTCCTGAAGTTCTTTCCCTAAGACCTTGGGATCTTCACTGTCTTTCCACAGACACTCCCTCCTTTCTTCACTCTGGGATCTCATCCTTGTCTCCCAGAGTCTCCTTCAGGTTCCGCCTTTTTTCCCACCATAGATCCTCCTTCCTCCTTAATCCTTCAGTCAGGGTCTATCCCACAAAAAAATGAAACCTCTCCTACCTAGTCTGGCTTTCCATCCTCTTCTCTACCCAAACAGGATACACAGAATAGATGAAAGAGACAATTCACCATAGAGTGTGGAATTGCTTTGAGTTTCCCTCGTTTTACTCACCAAAGGATTCAAAGCTGGGAAAATTGCTAAAAAGCAATTTGCTCAAGGCCTCAGAACTCGAAATTAGGTTTGGTTTGTGTACCCGCTGACTAGTATCACTGTTTTATAATAGTAGAGAAGTGGGATTTTGAAAACTTTCTGAAAGGGCTGGTGAGGTTGCTAAGTCCTAAGAGCTTATTAATGGTGAAAATTTATTGGGATATTTGGATTAATTTATCTGAGAAATATAACCACAGTTTTTTTTTTGTTTTTGAGACGGAGTCTCGCTCTGTCACCCAGGCTGGAGTGCAGTAGTGCAGTCTCAGCTCATTGCAGCCTCTGCCTCTTGGGTTCAAGCGATTCTCCTGCCTCAGCCTCCCTAGTGGCTGGGACTCGGGCACCATCACGCCCGGCTAATTTTTGTATTTTTAGTAGAGACAGAGTTTCACCATGTTAGCCATGCTGGTCTCGAACTTCTGACCTGAAGTGATCCGCTCACCCTCCCAAAGTGCTGGGATTATAGGCAGGAGCCACAGCACCTGGCTAACCACAGTTTCTTCTTCTTTTTTCTTTTCTTTTTTTTTTTTGGAGAAGGAATTTCGCTGTTGTCACCCAGGCTGGAGTGCAATGGTGTGATCTCGGTTCACTGCAACCTCTGCCTCCTGGGTTCAAGCGATTCTCCTGCTTCAGCCTCCCAGGTAGCTGGGATTACAGGCTCCCACCACCATGCCCAGCTAATTTTTTTTTTTTTTTTTTTGTATTTTTAGTAGAGATGGAGTTTCACCATGTTGGCCAGGCTGATCTCGAACTCCTGACCTCAGGTGATCCACCTGCCTCGGCCTCCCAAAGTCCTGGGATTACAGATGTGAGCCACAACGCCCGGCCACAGTTTCTTTTGAGCTAGGTTATTGGATTACTTTTGACAGAGATAAGTTGAATGCAATGTCAGGAGAACAGCTTTCTGCAGACTAAGAAGTATGAGATTTGGAATTTCTGATAAGTACTTACTTCAGATGAACTCATTTACTCCTGGTTTAAGCAAACCGTTAATTGGTATTTAAGGTGAAACAGGCATTATAAAATAGTGAAGAAACAAGTCTCCAGAGCACTAAGCTGGTGATAACCAAGCTTTTTGCACAGGCACTAATTTAGTAAAGAAAAAAAGTTTCTTTTATGAGGGATGTGGTTTTTTTTTTTTTTTAATCCAGAAATGTAATTCCTGCACCAACCTTTAACTATTTTTAAATTCTTCTTCTTTTTTTTCTTTTTTAAACTAATTAATTAATTTTGTTTGTAGAGACAGAGTTTCACTATGTTATCTAGGCTAGTCTCCAGTTCCTGGGCTCAAGTAATTCCGGCCACCTCGGCTTCCCAGAGTGCTGGGATTACAGGCATGAACCAGTGCGTCTGACCTTCCCCTTTTGTGGTGCCAAAAGGGTTGGGGACCACTGCCCTAAACATTTATTTGGAAATACTTTTCATCAGGCCCTCTTCTTCACAGAAGTCATAGTGGCAGTTTCCATTTTATTTAGAAAATGACTCTCTAAGCTCAACTGCATCCCAGGTCAGACTCCCTCATCACCCTTGGGGCTACACTCATCTGGTTGGGCAAAAAACAGTCCAGGCTCTCAGAAAAGTAGACTCTGCAAATCCTACTCCTTCCCAGTGAAGACGTGGCCTCCTCATCCCTCTTACTGGGCCGCACATTACGACCAGGGGCAGTGACCTGACCTGTCAAACCAGCCAGTTTTAAGTGACACTCATCATCCCCTCTGTATATCACATAGGCTTGCAGAGAGGTAAACCCACCTATCTCAGATCCAGTATTTTTGTTTGGTTTGTTTGTTTGTTTCTTTTTTGAGACGGGATCTCACTCGTTCACCCAGGCTAGAGTGTAGTGGTGTGATCTTGGCTCACTGCAACCGCTGCCTCTTGGGCTCAAGCAATCCTTCCACCTCAAGTAATCCTTCCACCTCAGCCTCCTCAGTAACTAATTTGTGTACTTTTTGTAGAGAAACTCCTGAACCCAAGTGACACTCCTGCCTCAGCCTCCTAAGTAGCTGGGATTACAAGTGTATGCCACTACACCCAGCTGATTTTTGCATTTTTTGTAGAGACGGAGTTTTTCCTGTCAGCCAGGCTGGTCTCAAACTCCTGGACTCCAGTGACCCACCCGCCTCGGCCTCCCACAGTTCTGGGATTACAAGTGTGACCCACCACTCCTGGCCAGATCCGGTGTTTCAGTAGCACCTGGGTGACTGAAGGATGAGGGTGGGGGTGCACATCTGGGCTGAGCTGAATTGCAACATCTGAGGAGATTTACGTTAACAAATATTTTGCGTGTTTGTTACATTCTGTCGTATGTAAGTATCTAGGGACCCAGCAAATAACAAGAATTGGCCATATCTGAATCACTTATGATCTTACAGGATTTCCCTCAGATGGTTTGAGTAAGCTTTAATGAAGATGTGACGCAAAAGTGTGGCAGGATTTAGGGAACCAATAAAGGTGATACACCCAGAGACCAGCAATGGTGGTAAGCCTCTGACACGGAAGTGTGGGTGATGTGGCAGTATATTCTGTCATAGCTTCCTGGTGGCACAGAGAGAGGAAGAGAAGGAGTGGGATGGGGCACAAACAGAATTAACCACTACATGATTCCCAGAATTCAGTGTTCTGTGCACATGGGCCATGTCCTGAAGCTAGGTGGGCTTTCTAAGGTCCTTAGGTCTTTGCTGGAGTAGACTGTGTGGTATAGTGGAAAGAGTGAGGCTTGGGTTTAGACACAGATTTGGATTTGAATCTCAGCTCCAACAACACCTTGCAACTGTGAATCTTGGACAAGATACTTCTCCCTGGGCCTCGGATTGTTCTTCTGGAAAGAGCTATGTCCCAGAATTACCATGAGAATTAAATCAAAAAGTGTGAATCACACCTAGCACACACTGCCTAGCCCCTGATTGACACTCAGCAGATGTTAGTTTTCTTCTTTTGAGAAAAAAAGATTGTGTTCCTGTGGGATTTCCCTTTTAAATTGCAATAAGATAAAAAATCTGTGTCATAGGAAAACCTCAAGTTGCCTGGTCCTCAGTAGAGCATTGTCTGTGTTAGGCTCCATTTCCAAGTGTGTAGATTGTCAGTGTTAATTTGCAAGTATAATTTGCTTTTATTAGATAATTTTCAAATAAAATGGCCAATCAGACCAAGCCCAGGAAATTTGTTAAATCCTTGTTACTTCAATGATTGTTCAGTTTTGAGATTTTCTGGGGTAAGTTGCGAGAGTTGTCACAGTGTATGTCCAGGCCTGGCAATTTTGGGGATCCTGTCTACCATTCAGGCTATCTGCAGAGCCAGCGAGTTTGGACATTCTGGTAGACATGCAAACTGGGGTCAGCCCAGTGTACCAGAAGAGGAATGTCTTCTGTCTTTGCTTCCCCTTTCCAAAATTCAGTGTTCTTGTGGCTTATTCATTAATTGTATGTCTCTATCCCAACCAGGTTCTCCCTAGTTCCTTTGTTGCTTTATGTTCAGAGATAATGCTGCTGAGCCTCCATTGTGGAGACCACTTTTGAAATAAACTGTAGTGAACACGTCTTTTCTGTACTGAATACAAAAGATACTCAGTTAATTGATTGCTTTTTTTCCCTAGAAAAGTAACTTTCGAAAAACAGTGGTTCTACCTGGATAACGTCATTGGCCATAGTTATGGAACCACATTTGAAGTGACCAGTGGAGGAAGTCTACAGCCCAAGAAGAAGAGGGAAGAGCCTACTGCAGGTGCACATTTTGGATGCGTGAAATAGATGCTGTCCAACTGACTAGTCAGAAACATCTCAACCTCCACCTAATTCCCAAGTGCTAGACAATGCTACCCCAAAAGAAATCTTAACTCATAATCTAAGAACTGCAGCTTAGTGGAGTGAAGCAAGTACTACCTTTGGCCCTGAGATAACCTGGATTCTGTCTCCAGGCCACCATTAAATGGTTCTCTGCTCTTGGGCCAGGCATTTAATCCTATGAGTCGTTGCTGCATCATTGCAAGAACATATGTGGAGTTCTCTGACCTTGGACCAGGCATTTAATCCTATGAGTCGTTTCTGTGTCATTGCAAGAACATATGTAAAGTTCTTTCAGTGCCCAGAAGTTATGTAACAGCTGTAAGGTGGTTAGTGTGTGGTGTAGAGGTTAAGAGGTCTGGTTTTGGATCCAACTAAGTTCAATTTCTACCTTCATCACTCGCCTTGTACCATTGGGCAACTTACTTGAGTTCTGTGAGTCTTACATCCTTATATGTGTAAAATTGGGTCATAAACATATTTAATGCCTAGGTTGTATTGAGTGCTCAATGATATGGCTCATAGGAAGTTCTCCATAGTGTCTTGCTTTTAGTAAGAGCCCATAATTTTAGCTATTACTATTATTATTTCTTAACCTCTTGTCCAAAAGCTGTTATTAATTAAAATTAAATATTTATTAAAATGAACATTGAGAATATCTTATTAATTAAAACACAAGTAATTATTTGAAGTTAAATAAATACTATTAAAGTTTTTTGAGTCAAACCAGTTATGTAGATACATTTGAATTAATATCCATATTTTTACTAAGCACCAAATATATGCCAGGTATAATTTGGCACTGCAGTTATGGCAGTTCATAAGATAGACTGTCGTATAAAATGTACTTACCAGTTGGAACACCAAAAATAATCAAGTAGACAAGCAAACAGCATGATTTCTTATGGTGAAGTGACACATGCTATGAAGATAATAAAGCAGGGGCGTGTGCTAATTTGGTAAAGCAAGAGAATGAGCTCAGCTTCAAGTGATAGAAAGGATCCAGCCACTCAGACATCTGTCATAGAACCTTCCAGGCAGAGGAAGCAGCAGGTGCCAAAAGCCTGCTGTGGGACCTTGCTGGGTGTGTTCAAGGAACAGAAAGAAGGCCATTGTGACTGAAGCTAAGGTGTCAAGAGATCAGGCCAGAAACAATAGGCAGGGGCCAGATCAGTGATGGCCTTGTAGGTCATCTTTGGAATGTATTCCATTGCTATGGGAAGCCACTGTATGGTTTTAAACATGGGATAGATAAGTCAAATTACATTTAAACAGAGAGCACTCTGGCATCCAGGTGGATAGTAGTGGGGCAAGGCTGGGAGTGGGAAGATGACTTAGAGGCTTGGAGTAGTTTTGGCAGGAAAGGATGGTGTGATGGGAGCAGTGCAGCCGGGAGGCCAGACTTCAGTGGCTGATGGACTGGATGTGGATATGAACTCAAAAAAGAAAGTGTCAAATAATTTCAGACCATAAATGTCAATAGAGCAATTTCTTTCCTTAGAGACTAAAGAAGCGGGCACTGATAATCGAAATATAGTTGATGATGGGAAATCTCAGAAACTTACTCAAGATGACATAAAAGCTTTGAAGGACAAGGGCATTAAAGGAGAGGTAATATTCAAAGGATTTTTAGTTTTGTTTTTGTCTGTTTGGCATTTAGGAAACTGGTTTTTAAAGCAGACTGTACCTAAGTTAAAAAAAAAAAAGTTATAGCTTTGATAGAAATAGGTTGAAATGTACATGTAACTCAACGTTTCAAAGATTTTATGTCTTACATGCAGGAATATAAGTGAATGACATTACTAATATTAGTGGTAGAGAATGTAATAACAGTGCATATCAGGATTTAACTTTGTTCATTTTCGGTAATGTTTTCAGCCAGTGTCTTCAGAAATTAGTTTCCTTTACCTCTCTTCTCCCTTTATTGGATATCTCTGTTCTTTTACGTTGGTTTAAATGGAGTTATAAAGTACTTGTATTTTATTATAAATTCCAAATAGAGTATAGAAATACAAAGTTCATCTATTTGGACTTCTGTGGAAAAGGGATTGGAGAATCAGACCATTGGATCCATTCTTGGGTAAGAAGCCTTTGGAAGTTACTTGTTTTGTGAAAGTAAAGTTTCAGAAAATCTACTTGCTCCTTTTCTTATAGGAAATAGTTCAGCAGTTAATTGAAAATAGTACAACGTTCCGAGACAAGACAGAATTTGCTCAAGATAAATATATTAAAAAGAAGAAAAAAAAGTAAGTGGTTTTTATTTTTAAAGGCTGATAATATTAAACTTTTTTATATGTTTATAAAACATATATCTTATTACAAATAAAATATTTTAAGTCATTTTTTCAAGTCAGTGTTCTGTTTTTTCTTCCCCCAGATATGAAGCCATCATTACTGTTGTGAAGCCATCCACCCGTATTCTTTCAATTATGTATTATGCAAGAGAACCTGGAAAAATTAAGTACGCTTTGTTTCCTTTCAAAAGTATAAGTGGGGGAACTATGTCTTTAAGAAAGTCATGATTTTAAGTAAAATGAAAAAACTTGCTCACCTGCATAAAGTATCCTCCTACCTCCTAAATTGTAAGTCCTTTTACTGTCGCCTCCAAAGCAATCAATAATCTTATCAACATAATTTTCATAAAGCAAACAAAACTTGAAAAATGATGATTCAAATAGTAGGCTTCACTTAGCTAAAAATGAATGAATTATTGTTTTTACTTTAGCCACATGAGATACGATACACTAGCCCAGATGTTGACGTTGGGAAATATCCGTGCTGGCAACAAAATGATTGTGATGGAAACGTGTGCAGGCTTGGTGCTGGGTGCAATGATGGAACGAATGGGAGGTGAGACTTAATATTTCCATTTTCAACAAAACTCCACCCTGATGTGAGTAAAGGCGGTCCAAAAATGTAAACTCATGGAAAGCCAGATTGAATTACTTCAGGGTTAACGAAGTGACTTGGGTGAACCTGCACAGCTCCTAGCCTGGGGACCTTCTTACGCAGTCTCCATCACCCAGCACCCCACCCATGGGTACCCCTGACCCATGGCGATTGTCCTTTCTAGCTTCACTGTCAGTGGGCGTGATGCTGGAGCCTGTGGCTTGCTAGGGCTTTCAGGACAGTGATTTTAGTAAACTGGGTAGATGGTGCTCATTTCATTGGGCCTAAATTGAAGGGAGTGAGTGGGAAGATTACTAAGCATGTATTCTCTCTGGAAGAATACAGCATAGTCTGATTTGTCTGTTTCTTTTCTGACCACATAGAAGATAAGAACCTGTAACTGCTCCGTATGAGGATTGGAGTGAGGGGAAGCAGAGTCAATCACCAATCATGTAACAACCAAATTTGCAGACACAGGGTTTTACAGTAGTATCAAGTGGGGGATAAGCTTCTTTGAGACTTCCTGCTATCTGCTTTAGAATTATATTACCTCCACTGGTAATACTCATAGACTCCAAACAGACTCCCTGAGGAGCTGCACCATTCTTCAGCCTGTGAATAAAGTATTAATAGAAAGACCTTCAGTCTCATTACTGTGGAGGACTCACTGAGGGTTTGCATAGTCTAGCGTCACTCCACGGGCAGATATTTGTTTCTTTTATCTGTTCAGGTTTTGGCTCCATTATTCAGCTATACCCTGGAGGTGGACCTGTTCGGGCAGCAACAGCATGTTTTGGATTTCCCAAATCTTTTCTCAATGGTCTTTATGAATTCCCCCTCAACAAAGTGGACAGTCTTCTACATGGAACATTTTCTGCCGAGATGTTATCTTCAGAGCCAAAAGACAGTGCTTTGGTTGAAGGAAGTAATGGCACACTGGAGGAAAAACAGGCTTCTGAACAAGAGAATGAAGACAGCATGGCAGAGGCCCCAGAGAGCAACCACCCAGAAGACCAGGAAACAATGGAAACCATTTCTCAAGATCCAGAACATAAGGGGCCTAAAGAGAGAGGAAGCAAAAAAGATTATGTAAGGATGCCAAGAGTCCCCACCACCCCCGTAATCTCAGGCCCTCAGTTAACTTCACTTAAATCATGAGATTTGGTTTGGCTTTAGTGTATTAGCTCCCAAGATGATAACTATCAAAACAGAATGAATGTGTGTACATGTACACAAGCGTGTGATTTCAGTCTTTGGGGTGCAGCTTTAGGTTACAGAAGCATTGCATAGATAGCTTAATAATGGTTTTTATAGTATATAGGCTTTCTTGTGTTTTTTCAGCTTCCTTATAAACAATCTCCTTCTATGGGTTTAGTCCAGGTTGATAAATATTGTTGAAATGTTTTGACAGACCAGAGCATTTCCATAAATTTGACTGACCCCAGTACATTGGTTTCTTCTTTTTCTTTTTGAAGATTCAGGAAAAACAGAGGAGACAAGAAGAGCAGAGGAAAAGACATTTAGAGGCTGCCGCTCTGCTGAGTGAAAGAAACGCGGATGGGTGCGTTGATGGAAGCAGCAGGAGACTCCTCCGCGCGTGTGGGCTCTGCTTCAGACAGATTGGCATTCCCTTCTTGTCCGCTTTGATTCTAGTGGGACCCGAGATGAGGATTTTGTCTTGGGGGTTTTTTAAAGAAAGGAGGCTGAGGCTGGCAGGGGTGGGGAATTGATGATGCTAGTTTCAGGATTTCAGAAGAAATTGAACCTTCTCCATCACAGTGCATCAAAACAGGCTTTGTGGTCCTACTGGGCGCAGGGGATGGGGCACTCAAATGCTGCGACACAGGCTATAACAAATGTCCACAAAGCAGCATATGCAGTGTTGGATTTGTTTCCAGGTGATTTTTTTAAAAAAAATCAAGAATGTCATTAAATGCCACTTAGAGTTGCCAAGCACCGCAAGAGCTTCTAACCCAGTTTGTGTTTCCTAGAAAGAAATAGCTCATGATTGTATTCTGTTTTAGATTTTTAGAATGTTATATTTAAATCTCTTCTTTGTGTGAGTCATGCAAATTAAATACATGATCATTTTAAATGCATTTTAAAACCCATGCTCCACTTTGGGAGAGAAATAATTTGTCTGACATTTTCCTTACAGTTTAATTGTAGCTAGTCGTTTCCACCCCACTCCCCTGCTGCTGTCTTTGCTGGACTTTGTGGCCCCTTCAAGGCCATTCGTGGTCTACTGTCAGTACAAAGAGGTAATACTGGAATGGAATGGGCAGGAATTCTTACGTCTGAATGTTGATTCCTAAACTGCATCCCAGGAAGTAGCTCTTAACGGAATTCTGTTTTTGCCTGCAGCCTCTGTTGGAATGCTACACAAAGCTGCGGGAGAGGGGAGGGGTCATCAACCTCAGGCTGTCTGAGACCTGGCTCAGAAATTACCAGGTACGTGTTCTTACAGCCAGTCAAGAGCTGCCCTCCCAAGACTTGACTGTCCTTGCAGTAGTACTAGAAGTCATTAAATATAGTTACCTCAGCCAGGCACAGTGGCTGATGCCTGTAATCCCAGCACTTTGGGAGGCCAAGGCAGGCAGATTGCTTGAGTCCAGGAGTTCAATACCAGCCTGGGCAACATGGTGAAACCCTATCTCTATGAAAAATATATATAAATTGTCTGGGCATGACCCTGTATCTACAAAAAATACAAAAATTAGTCGAGCATGGTGGCAGGTGCCTGTAGTCCCAGCTGCTCAGGAGCTGAGGTGGAAAGATTGCTTGAACCGGGGAGGTCGAGGCTGCAGTGAGCCGAGATCCCACCACTGCACTCCAGCCTGGGTGACAGAGTAAGACCCTGTCTCAAAAACAAAATAAAAATAGAGATATTTCTGCTTCTATCTACAGAGATGAAGATGTCTCGTGGCTGTTACTCAGAGAATGTGCCCCTTACTTTTTCTGACCCTTTTTTTCTCTTGTTATGTCAGAATATATTACTCTGTAACTCTGCCCTGAAGGCATTTAAAATGCAAACCGCTATGGTTCTTATTTCCCCAAGGCCTCGATATCACTGTGGATGATGTAATTGACAATAGCAAAATTCCCAGGTGGATGAGAAACTGTCCCTTTCCTCTCTGCCAGGATGTTTTTGTGGCAAGTTTTCAGGATTTACTGGTGGCCTCGGTGTCAGTTCAGGTCTTCTGGAAGACATATGCTAAGATGGAAGTCGAAGTGTAAGAGATGTATTGAGGGAAATGCCTTAGAGACATAAGGGGAGAGGGAGCAAGATCGGTGGTGCAGGTTGATGCCTGGGCAAGGAGCTGGTAGAGAAAGGAGGATGGGAGGAAGAGCCTGCAGTGCTGCTCTGAGAAAGTTTCCATGAGGCTGATGGCGAGCTCAGGTGCAAAGGTCGCCATTCAAGGAGCCCTGTGTTAAGCAGAAAGGCTCCAGCCCTGGTACTCATGCTCAGTTACTGACTGGGAGCAACCCATGGCCTCCCTCAGCATGAATGCTGTAGTGGATCCCAAAGGAGCGGCAGCTGGAGGCGTTCTACTGCCTGAATGCCTCGCAGCCAGTTCCCTCATGAAGGGAGATCTGAGGGGAGCACCTCCATGCTGCCATAGGCCCCGTCTCATTGCTTGGTGTCTTATCCTAATGTAGTGGGGATGCTATTGAGCCTTAGGTAACCCTACCCTTTGTAGAGGTTGTCTTACTTAGCTAAGGTTACAGGAGAAAGAGGAGAGAAGTTGCCTTGGCAAAGTTAACAGGGTAGCGGGGGAGGGAGGTTTGGAGTGTAGTACATTCAGTAGCAACGTCTCCATAGACCCAGGCTCCATTATTGGCCATGAAGCTTCCTGAAGCCAAGAGAAAGAAAGCTCTATGCACAGTTCTAGAGTACTGCCCAGACCATTACCCATTCTCCACCAGAAACATGCTTCAGTTTCTAGAGAAACCTGGGCTGAACTGAAAACTGCTTCAGTTTTTTTTTTTTTTTTGAAACAGAGTCTCACTGTGTTGCCCAGGCTGGAGTACAGTGGCACTATCTTGGCTCACTGCAACCTCTGCCTTCCGGGTTCAAGCGATTCTCCTGCCTCAGCCTCCTGAGTAGCTGGCATTACAGGCGTGTGCCACCACGCCTGGCTAATTTTTGTATTTTTAGAAGAGACAGGGTTTCATCGTGTTGACCAGGCTGATCTCAAACTCCTGACCTTGTGATCCGCCTGCCTCGGCCTCCCAAAGTGCTGGGATTACAGGCGTGAGCCACCATGCCTGGCCAGTTTTATTTTTCAAAAGCAAATCCATTAAACCAATTTCTGCACTTTTCTCTGCATTGTAATGTGAAGAAATGAGTTCCTTAGAAGTTGGTCCATTTAAAACCTGGTGCCGTGGCTCATGTCTGTAATCCCAGCACTTTGGAAAGCCAAGGAGGGAGGTTCACTTGAGGCCAGGAGTTTGAGGTTACAGTGAGCCAAAATCTCACTACTGCACTCCAGCCTGAGGAACAGAGTGAGACCCTGCCTCTTAAAAAAAAAAAAGAAAAAAAGAAAGAAAGAAAGTAACTGGTCCATTTAAATTATCAAGAGAACCTGTGTTGTTTAAATTCTGGTTTTTGGTATATTGTGTTGTTCAGATGGACTTTATTGTCTTGGGAAAGCTTGGATGTCTTTTCTGTCTTGATTAGGTTTTGCCAGATCGAAGTCATCCTAAACTGCTGATGAGTGGAGGTGGGGGTTACCTTCTCTCCGGCTTCACCGTTGCCATGGACAACCTTAAAGCAGACACCAGACTCAAATCTAATGCAAGCACTTTAGAATCACAGGAGACTGAGGAGCCTGCAGCTAAAAAACGGAAATGCCCGGAGTCTGACTCTTAACCCTTTGAGAATTGCTCTGAATTTTGTTCTCAGGCATTATACAGTTAGTAATTAAACTTTAAATGCCATTACTACTTGTTTTTTCATATCCCAAGAATAAGAACATGTCTATATACCCGTTTCTGGGAAGGAGGAGTAAGCCTTTTGTCTGTTTCTGACACAGATGCGCTTGGTCTGTCGAAACTGCGACTGTGGTGTATGTAGTATGACCAACTGCATTTAACAAAACTCCTCTAAGTACTTCTAAATATTCTGTGCAAATATCTTGAGAACTTCAACATCCTAAAAATGTGTTTCTACAAGACTTTATATTTTAAGCTAAGTGGAATAATACAACATAACTAAAACATGGCGGGTACCGAAAGGAGGGTAATTCATGGAAGAAATTTCCTCTGTTCATTCCGTTCTCTTCAACCTAAGCAATATGGATGTGTGAGTGTGTGATTTATTATGGTACCAAAAATGTCCACCCTCTTTCCTGCAGTGGAATAAGCTTTTTTGAAATGCTAAGGTTTTATTTTAATAGTTGACAACCTGGGAAAGTTCTGAGTATTTATTTTACTGCTCTTTTTTGTGCATAGAAAGGTTTAGTAGGGTACTTTTTTGCATTAGTTTGCCAGTACTCTTATTCTTTGTTCTAAATAAAGTGACTAGAATTTTTGTGTACTATTCAATTAAAGGAAACAAATGTCTTTTCCCCCTCTGTGGTTTTATGGATACACATTTGCACACACACACATATATGTATATAGATGTTGGTATATATACCCATATATATTTGTATATACATAGATATATACATACACATACATGTGGAGACATAGATTGTACCACCTGTATGAATGTATATGTACACATGGAGACAGAGCATGCAATCTATTTGAACTATATCAGAGTTATGTGCAGAACGTAGACCAGTTCTCATCGTATTAGTGTCATTCCTTGTCAAATGTCCCTAAAGTGCCTTTCTTGATGATTATTAATGCTGAAGAACTCTGGCATGATTAGATGGTTACCCTTTCTATGCTGTGAAAAACTCGAATCATTTGATCATATGCTGTAGGAAAGAAAGTGTTTAGAATCAGCCAAGGCTCTTGTTCATTTGAGAGATTGAGTCTTGCTCACTGGAACATGGTCATCGTTTGTGTTGCTCCTGTCATCATAGAATAGGTGTATATCATACAGCAAGCAACATCTCAGAAAAAAAGAATTTTTTTTCCAAATAGCATGTGCTATTTTGATAATGGCCAATGTGATTACCAAGTACAATTTTGAGTCCTTTATCCTAATTGCTAGTAAATAAAAATGTTGGCCGGGCACAGTAGCTAATACCTGTAATCCTAACACTTTGGGAGGCCCAGGCAGGCAGATCACCCAAGGTCAGGAGTTCAAGACCAGCCAGACAAACATGTTGAAACCCCATCTCTACTAAAAATTCAAAAATTAGCCATGCATGGTGGCTAATGCCTGTCATCCCAGCTACTTGGGAGGCTGAGGCAGGAGAACCGCTTGAACCCAGGAGACGGAGGTTGCAGTGAGCCGAGATCACGCCATTGCACTCCAGCCTGGGCAACAAGAGCAAAACTCTGTCTCAAAAAATAAATAAAAATGTTTCCTACTGTGATTTGTCTGACTAACAGTGATGCAGTCAGTGATGCCATGTTGGCTTTCGGCTGATTGTGACATATGGTCTGTCTATTGTGGAGGACATGCCTGGATTGGCACCTCACAGAACATGTTGCAAGCTGTTGTCACACACATATAGTCAAGTTTGGACAAGGAGAACAGAAAACCGTGTGCATAGATTAGAATCAGTAGTGGCCAGTCTCCTGGTTACTGGTTTGCAAGTTGCATTCCACTCCCTAAATCTTTTCTCTGAGTTCCCTGAGTAAGGGGTCTGGGGTCTGAGCTACCAAGGCCCTGCATTCTCATGTTACCTTGTGAACTGATTTTACCAATGCCAACAGCATAAGTTAATCTGTATTTTTTTTTTCATTCTTATAGTTTACTTCATCTGAGTACAGATGATTTAATTCTGTGGTTTGCAAACTTAGCATTGGAAAACTTAGAATCCCCTGGAGGGCTTTGTTAAGCAGAGACCATTGAACCCTCCAGCCCACAGAATAAGATTTCAGTACTTGTGGAGTGGGCAGAGTATTTGCATTTCAAGTAGTTTCCAGGTGATGTTGGTGCTGTCGGTCCAGGAACGGCCCATTGGGAACCACTACTGTGTGCACGCACATCATGGGTACAGCTAAATACAGGATGTTTTTTTCTTGTGTTTAAAATGGACATTCACCTTTGGAGCAGATGAATGGATCATTTTATGATTTTTGGACATCCAGCCACCAGCAGCGTTATGTAGAATAGCCCTTGAATGGCAATCAAAAAGTCAAAGACAAAAGTCATTTTGTAACATCCATCCTGTTCCTCCATTGGACTAGGGTACTTGGCAATATAGCATGGCACCCATCACAGGGCTGTGTTTAGCTTAAAGGTACACTAAAATTGTATGAAGCAAATACCGAGCAATCATTCATGCACTGGTTGTATATTGAAAAGCCCAGGCCGGGCGCGGTGGCTCAAGCCTGTAATCCCAGCACTTTGGGAGGCCGAGACGGGCGGATCACGAGGTCAGGAGATCGAGAGACCATCCCGGCTAACACGGTGAAACCCCGTCTCTACTAAAAAATACAAAAAAAACTAGCCGGGCGAGGTGGCGGGCGCCTGTAGTCCCAGCTACTCGGGAGGCTGAGGCAGGAGAATGGCGTAAACCCGGGAGGCGGAGCTTGCAGTGAGCTGAGATCCGGCCACTGCACTCCAGCCTGGGTGACAGAGCAAGACTCCGTCTCAAAAAAAAAAAAAAAAAAAAAAAACCCAAACTACAGGCTTTTCTCAATACATAGTGAAGCTTCGAAAAAGTAATGGAGTGCTTGCATGTTGTTTTAAAGTGTTGATTGTAAATATTGGAAGAACTATACTAAATACTAAAACGCATGTCCTAAAAATCCATGATCAAGATTCGCTTTATCTGGGTTTTGTAATGCATTTAGATGCAGTGCTGGAAAGGAACAGAGTATATCTAATAACTTTACTTGAAATATAACGTTGCCTCTAGGCTAGTATTAATTTTTGTAAAAAGGATTATAGATTTTCTTTGAACTTAGCTATGTCACACAGGTCAGATGGCGAGAGAGGTAAGTCCCTGAACAGATACTTAAAAAGCAACTAGGAACCTTTTAACTACCTTATTAACATTTACTAGGCACCCACAGCTATTTGAGTTTTTATGAGGAAGGGCAAAATCTTTGAAGCATCGGAAATGAACATCATACTCTACCCACTCCTTTTGGGAGGCCTGTTCCCTCCCCCCCCACCATTTTTCTTAGTTTATTTTCTTCATGTTTATCAGAGTACATGGACCCAGAACATTCACTCTATTATGAATAGTTCAGCATCTTACAAGTCACCTTCCAAGCAGGACAGATTAAGGCAGACTGGTGTGGACATAATCGCATCTATGGCTATAAGGAATACACAACAGAAAATCAGATTCCAACCAAGCAAAAAGCTGCTCAGGTTTTTTTGTTTTTGTTTTTTTTCAAACAGAGTCTCACTCTGTCACCAAGGCTGGAGTGCGGTACGCGATTTCAGCTCACTGCAACCTCCGCCTCCCAGGTTCAAGCTACTCTCCTGCCTCAGCCTCCCGAGCAGCTGGGACCATAGGTGCACACCACACCTGGCTAATTTTTTGGGGTTTTTTTTTTTTTTTTTGAGACGGAGTCTCACCCTGTCACCCAGGCTGGAGTGCAGTGGCCGGATCTCAGCTCACTGCAAGCTCCGCCTCCCAGGTTTAGGCCATCCTCCTGCCTCAGCCTCCTGAGTAGCTGGGACTACAGGCACCAGCCACCTCGCCTGGCTAGTTTTTTGTATTTTTTAGTAGAGACGGGGTTTCACCGTGTTAGCCAGGATGATCTCGATCTCCTGACCTCATGATCCACCTGCTTTGGCCTCCCAAAGTGCTGGGATTACAGGTGTGAGCCACCGTGCCTGGCCTGCTTGGTTAACTTTATTCTTCCAACTTTACCAGCTGCACTCTCAGTCATTTAAAGGATATAGGAATGGAGGCCAAAATAGACCATTTGGGGGTCAGGGATGCCATGTTTTCTATTGGGGCAATTTCATGGGGCACTGTGCCTTGTGAATGACAGTGAGTGGAAGACAAAGGATTCTCCGTATTATTCCAGGATGGGAGTCCATTCAACTGGAACACTGTGCACTTTGAAAGACCTGAAACTATTCCCTAATGCTGAGACTCAGCCGACAGCCCAAGGGAGCGCTGTTCATCTGCCATCCAGGCTTGGTGTTAGGACAAGAGAAAGCAGGCCTGTGGGCTGGAGGCAGTCACAGGTCTGTCAATGCAGACAAAGTGATGATCTCTCGAGTCTTCACTGAGCCGCATATGGGGACCACACATCACAGTCTTCACTCCTGCAAGGTCCACAGTCCTGTCCTTCTGGAGTACCTCCTTCTCCCTCCTGTTCTAAAAGCCTCTGACGTGTTTCCATCACAATCTCCTCCATTATTTCTGGCTTTAAGATGTCTTTGATCTAACGTGGAAGGGATGCTTCATAGCAGTACAGGATGCTGGTATCATACAGCATCGTCCTCTGAGTTACCAGCGAGATGATGCAGTTCCGAAGCCAGGATATCACCTCTCCATCAGCAAGAGAGACAGGCTCCAGGTTTGCAGTGAAGCCCCCTGCTTCCTCTTCTTTGTGCTCAGGTGTTGGGTAAATCTAGATGAAGCCGTTGTTACCAAGAATCACTGAGGCACCACATGGCAAATCATGAAAGTGGATCTTCTGCCGTTTCACCAGGGAGGGGGACACCTGGACCAAAACCCCCTGACCTAGTTTTCCATATTTCAGGCTCCTCGTGTGCAGAGAGACAGCTCCGTCAGAGAACACTGCCTGGACCTCAGCACCGATAAGGTCCCCTTCCTGTAAGAAACCTGTCATTGCAAGCTCATCTTCTGTAGATCTTCTCTTCAGCTCTCCTCCAGGAAGGTTCATGGGCGAGAACAGCAGGACCGAATCCAGCCCGGAGTTGGTCTCCACCTTCCACCTCTTCTGTTGAACCTTTGTGATTCTTCCCACTACAATGTCTCCTGCTTCACCAATGTATCTGGGTTTCAAAGCTTTCACACAGATCAACTTATCGCCACAGAGCCGGCAACAGATACAATGAGCTTCTCTTCTTCCATATGCATTCCATGGCCCTGCATGAATCCCGTGTCCATAGTGATTGTGTCCCCTGGCACCACTAGATGTTTCTTAGTGTCTTGACCCAGTCTCTCGCTAAGAGGCTTGCAAGCCACCGGAAGCCTCATCTCCATCGCCATCTTGGCGCCAATCTTGGGAGGCCTTTTTACAGGTCTATTAATAACCTGGGTTTTTTGGCCGGGCGTGGTGGCTCATGCCTGTAATCCCAGCACTTTGGGAGGCCGAGATGGGTGGATCACGAGGTCAGGAGATCGAGACCATCCTGGCTAACACGGTGAAACCCCGTCTCTACTAAAAAATACAAAAACCTAGCCGGGTGAGGTGGCGGGCACCTGAAATCCCAGCTACTCAGGAGGCTGAGGCAGGAGAATGGCGTGAACCCGGGAGGCAGAGCTTGCAGTGAGCTGAGATCCGGCCACTGCGCTCCAGCCTGGGTGACAGAGCGAGACTCTGTCTCAAAAAATAAATAAATAAATAAATAACCTGGGTTTTTTGTTTTTTGTTTTTACTTTTAGCTGAGATGTCATTAAAACAAGACTGGAAAGGTTTCGATATTTCATTTTTGCTTTGACAGGTAACAAGGTGCTATGGATACTTTGTTTTGAAAGAGAGGTAGGTCAATCTGTTGAATGTTTGGTCTACATAGTGTTATAATTCTAAGCCAACAAACTTCAAAAAGTGGAGAAATTAATCCAGAGGAAATGACAGCAGGCGTTCTTTTGCCTTTTGGGAATACTTTTCCTCAATCAAATGCTCAAGTGGGTAAAGTGACCTCTTTAGTTCTTTCCTGTCACCTGTGAGTGACACAAAATAGGGGCTATAAATTAGATTAAATTAAATAATTAAATTATATAAACCAGACTTGGTGGCTCACGCCTGTATTCCCAGCCCTTTGGGAGGCCAAGGGGGGTGGATCACTTGAGGTCAGGAGTTTGAGACCAGCCTGGCCAACATGGTGAAACCCCCTCTTTAATAAAAATACAAAAATTAGCCAGGCCTGGTGGCGGGCACCTGTAATCCCAGCTACTTGGGAGGCTGAGGCAGGAGAATAGCTTGAACCTAGGAGGTGGAGGTTGCAGTGAGCCGAGATCACGCCACTGCATTCCAGCCTGGGCATCAGAGTGAGACTCTGTCATTCATAAATAAATAAATAAAAGTCATATGGTGACAGATTCAAGAAAGGAGATAAAAATAAGAGAGAATATGATTAATTTAAATCAGGACGCAGCAAATCTGGCCCACTACAAATTTTTTTGTATAGCCTGTAACAAAAGATTTTTACATTTTTAAGTGGTTGAAGCAGAAAAGTAAAAAAATAAAATAAATTTGTGACTTGGGAAAATTACATGAAATTCAAACTGAAATTTTATTGGAACGCAACCACTCTTAATTTGTTTATATATTGTTGATGGCTGCTTTCATACTGTGGCAAAGTTGAATAATTGTGATAGAGCCCATATGGTCTCAAAGCCTAAAATATACGCTCTCTGGTCCTTTGTGAAAAACTTTGCTGATCACTGATTTCAGTGGCGTGATGAGACGGATTGTGGCACAGGTGGAAACAGGAGAGCAGCACTTTGGAGCAGCCACAGTGGGAAGCAGATTTGGTGTGAGCAGCAAGCAATGATGGACAGTAGTGTGACATCCAGAGCTCCTTCTCCGTCCGCTGAACCCATCAGCAGTGTCTGACACTGTCCATCCCTGTCCTTGCCAGGCTTTTCCTCACTTGGCTTCTAGAATACCACTTTCTCCTGGTTTCCCTCCTACCTCTCTGGACTTTCTTTCTATATCTCTCTTACTGGTTCCTCCTCATCTCTGAAACGTCTAAACGTTGGCATGCCTCAGGACTCAGCACTTGAACTTCTTCCTTTTCTTGTCTACGCTCACTCCCTAGGGTGTTCAAGGGATTTGGGGACTAATCAAAGAGTGACCATGAGATGGCAGTAGCACACACATATTTTATTGGGTGATGGTGACACTCTGACAGTTTTGCATAGGGGTAGAGGGATGTCCCTTACAGCAAGAGTCTGTCCAAAGACCACACTACACGTATTGCTACTCAGAAGGAGAGGAGGAAAGGCAAGGATACCCCCGAGGGAGGGGAGGTTCAGAAACAAGGCTTTTGTGTCTAGGTGATGTTGCACAGCAGCAACAGCGGGGAGTCTCTGAGTCGGACAGCTTGAGGTTTGTGTTTTTGTATTTGGCTTTATTCTTCTGAGACAAGGTCTCACTCTGTCACCCAGGCTGGAGATCAGTGGCAGGATCTCAGCTCACTGCAGCCTCCACCTCCCAGGCTCAAGGGATCCTCCCACCTCAGTCTCCCATGTAGCTGGGATTACAGGCGCATGCCACCACACATAGCTAATTTTTGTATTTTTAGTAGAGACGGGGTTTCGTTATGTTGCCCAGGCTGGTCTCAAACTCCTGAGCTCAAGCGATCTGCCTGCCTCAGCCTCCCAAAGTGCTGGGATTACAGGTGTGAGCCACCACACTTGAGGTCTTACAACCACAAGCCTCTATGTTATCAATGGCCAACAGATGCTGGGTATAGTTTCACTGCGTAGGTAGCAGGAAGGCCCTGAATGGCTAAAAATTGGCTTAAAATTTGTTTTAAATAATTGGATGTGTAAAAATTTGAGTTTGGCTTTTGCAGTAATCAGCGTTAGCCTACAATGAAGAAATAATAAACAATCTATGAGCCAATACACAGAGGCCATCTTTGACTCATTTATATAACTCTAGGTGATCTCACCCAGTTTTAAGTCTTTAAATACCATCTCTAGAATGATGACTCCCACGTGCAATCTTCAACTCAGGCCTTTTCCTCCAGCACTGGCTCATATACCCAGCTCAACACCTCTGCTGGGTATCTATTCACGTCTCAAACTTAACAAGTTCATATCTGAGCTCCCCATCTCTCTCCTCCCAAACCAGTCCCTCCTGCAGTCTCCCCATCTGTTTTCCCAGGTGCTCAGGCCTAAAGCTTTGGTATTCTCCTCTTGTTCCCTCATGCCACACCAAAACCAGTAGCCCTACCTGTCAGCTCTGTTTCCAGAACAGATCTAGAATTCTACCACTTCTCCCCATTCCCAGTGCCACCATCTTGGACCCTGCCATCACAATGACCCACTAGGGTCATTACAGTGCCCTCCTTATTGGTTTTGTGTTTCTGCCTTCACTTCCCCTACAGCCATCTCTCAACCCAGAAGCCAGTGTTATTATAAACATAAAGCAAATCCTATCAGTCATCCATTGAGAACTCTCCAAATGCAAAAGCAAAAGTCCTTACCAGGACCTACAGAGAGCCTTGTGTGACTTGGCCCCTGCTGCCTCTCTAAGCTCACCTCCTACAACAGTCTCCTACTCTGGCCTCTTGTTCTTCTTCAAACACGCCAAACACATTCCCAAACCAGGGCCTTTGCACCTACTATTCCCTCTGCCTGAAATGTCCTTCCCCCAGGTGTCCACATGGCTCACATCCTTTCTTTAGGTCTTGCATCAACAGATACTTTCTCACTGAGGCCTGTCATGTATGTGAGTGTCAGGATCCTGGACTGCAGAATTGTAATTACTGCAATTAATTAATTATTTCAGCACCTGAAATCTCCTGATTATATTATGTATTTGTTTGTTTGTGTGTTTGAGATGGAGTTTCACTCTTGCTGCCCAGGCTGGAGTGCAGTGGCGTGATCTTGGCTCACTGCAACCTCCACCTCCTGGGTTCAAGTGATTCTCCTGCCTCAGTCTCCCGAGTAGCTGAGATTCCAGGCAACTGCCACCATGCTGGCTATTTTTTTGTATTTTTAGTAGAGACAGGGTTTCACCATGTTGACCAGGCTGGTCTCCAACTCCTGACCTCAGGTGATCTGCGCGCCTCAGCCTCCCAAATTGCTGGGATTACAGTGGTGAGCCACCCAACCGGCCTCCTGATTATACTATGTTTTACAGTGGCATGGTATGTATTTTCATTATGTAATAATAGAACCCTTTCTCTCCTCCTGTCCCGTCTCTGCATTATAACTCCTTCTCGATAAACTTGTCATGATATTAGAAATCATGACAATTAATAATTCAAATAAGAAAAGAAATCTAAAATTTAAATTACAGGTGGCTGCATCTGCACAAGGATTTGGAGGATGGGGCACTGAGGCCATTGTTTCTCATTGTATTAGATACCTAGGGCTGCCATAACAATGCACCACAAGCTGAGTGGCTTAAAACAACAGAAAAGTATTCTATTGCATATATGGAGGCCAGAAGTCTGAAATCGAGTTGTTGGCAGAGGCAGTGTTCCCTCTGACAGTTCTAGGGCAGAATCCTTCCTTGACCCTTCCAGTGTCTGATAATCCAGGCATTTCTTGGCTTGAAGAGGCATAGCTCCAATCTTTGCCTCTCTCTCCACATGGTATTCTCCTCTGTGTGTGTTTTTGTCTCTGAATTTCCATCTTCTTGTAAGGACACCAATGATACTATAAACGGGCCCAGTCTAATGACCCCATGTTAACTGCGGAGACCCTGTTTCCAAATAAGGTCAGATTCGTGGGTGCCAGCAGTTAAGACTTCTTCATTTGGGGGACAAAATTCAACCCATAATCCTCACTATAAGTCTTTCAGGACTACTTAATGTTTTTACAATGAACATAAATTATTTTGATTAAAAGTGGGAAAAGCAGTGGCCTATATAGTTCTTGACTTCTTCCTGAAGAAATGGTGGCACCCCCAGAGATCCTAATTGCACCATCTGAGCAGCACATATTGGGTGGGATTCTCTTGGATGTTTCCTTCATCCTTAATAGATCATCTACACCTTCATGTTTCCCTCCCCTGGGGTGTTTGCAAACTAAAATGAAAAGATGTTCTAATGTGCAATGCCTCAACAAGGCGGATGCCAGGGGGAAGCTGGGATCCAACTTCCAGCAGCTTTCCTCGTGAGCAGTGCCCTGTGTGTGTGTGTGTGTGTGTGTGTGTGTGTGTGTGTGTGTATGATTTGCCAGGCTGGCATTTGGTGCATTGCTGGGTTTTGTTTTCTCTCCTCGAGTGAGTAAATCACTTTTCACCTTGGGCCCCCCAATCTCTCTTTAGGAAAGTATTTTGTTTTCTGCTGGGCTGCAATAGGAAA